CCACACTTTGCTCCACAACCCTCTGGGCAGGAGGCAGAAACAGTCTGTCCTTGGGGGCAAATGCTGGGCCTGACCCAGTGCTGTGGGGCAGGATGAGGCTGCACTGAGCTGAGAACCCTCTGGTTTGCTCTTCATTTACAAAAGTGTACAGAAAAGGTTCAAAAATACATCAGATTGACGGGGATTTCAGTGACAGATACTTCAGTTGTATCAAACTGATTTATCCCCAAAATCGGCCTTGCAGCAAGTAGGCAGTTGCATCAGAGGCGCCTACCAACCTGAACCATTCCCCCTCTAGAGCTGCTGACACACAAATACCAGCAAAACCCTCCCAGATGTGACTTCAGGATGCTCAGAGGTGCCAGCATCAAGCTGCTGTTTGGGCATGTGTTTAGAGTCTTCTCTGGTCATGATGCTGCTCTCCAAACCTGTGACTTCCCCTCGACGCTGCCATCAGAGGCATCCACCTTCTTCCTACACCCATTTTCAAGCTGCCCCACAGCTCACACCATCCAGGAGCAGCCTCTGCAATGCCATTAGGGTAATGTTACCTGCCTTTGCTTTTCAGTGTCACAAATGCTGGCATGAGCCCTCATGCTCCCCTCAGCAGCACTGCCTGAGGAGCATGGGGCACCCGACACCCATCTACAAGAGGCCAAAACGCAGGTGGGCACAACCTGATAGAAGCAGCCTGCATGTTTCCCAGCACAGGGAGCAGCCTCTTCCCTTTTTCCAGGCACCAGGCTCCTGGGACAGGAGTGTGTGGATCTGTGATCCTCGCCACGGTGTGCTGGAGGGCCATGCATGCGGGTGAAAAGCACGTGCTTCTCCAGGAGTGGCTGCTGCCACTGCAGGGTATTCAGAAACCCAACACAAAGCACTGTGTAACCCTGCCTGACTTCATGGCAATGGGAACGTGAGCAGAAGGAGCCAGTTCCCACAGGCAACAGGCCATACTACAGCACGTTTCAGCAGCCTGGCCCCATTTGGGGCTCAGGACTGAGCTGTGCCAGGCTGGGCCTCCTCTGCCAGATGTATCGTGTTCAGGACCACGCTAAGCTCCCAAAGCCACCGCAGCCAGTACTAGCGTCATTGCAAAGCTATCCCTCCCAATAGCTCAATATATGGGAAATTCACTTTACCACACATAATTAGACCTCTCTCTGGTTGAAACTTGTTTGAGGCTCAAAAACCCTTCAGATGTATGCTTAGCTCAGCGAGCAGAATTAAGATCTTTTTCCTAAACAGAATCTGGATCCAATCTAAGGACCCCCTAATGGGTAGAGAATTTTTTGTGCTAGAATGCACTGGCTACACTAACACGAACCATGACTGCTGCATCCCTGATGCTCGAGCAGCACTTCATAACTCTTCCTTACACCAGCACCAAAAAAGGCCTTTGGAACTGCAACTCCATCTGAGTCCCAAAGAACTCCATGGGGAATGGAAAGTCAAACCCTTTAACTAGTTCCGCACTTCACAGGTGGAAGCATGGAACTGTGAGACCAGAGTGCCTTGACTGAGAGAAAACAACCTTAAAGCTCAGCTTTTTCCAAGTTTCCCTCACATGCACACAAGAATGCTTGCTCTGGAACTACCAACCCCTTTCTACATTTTCCTAACACTTAACTGGAACTTAGATTCCCCTCTTCCCATCCCAAAGCATGTAACGCAGTGTGCAAACAACAGTCTGGTTGAACTATCCTCATCCAAAAGAAACACCGCCAGAATCAATTCCTCTTTATTCTCCAAACTCAAGGGCAAGCACAGCTCCAGCCTGGAGGCTTTGTAACAGGCAGCAGTGCAGCTTGTGCAGGTCATTGCCCACAAGCACCTGCAGTCCAGCACAGACACAAAACACACTGCACATCCAAATGTGCCCTTGCTGAGAGGTGCCATCAGGTGGAGCCTTCACTGTCCCCATCACCCCATGCACAACCTCACACTTCCAGGAGCTGTCTGCAAAGATTGAATCAGCTGCAAGTGGGAACAATTCTGAAGGATGATGCAGGAACCCAGCTTCCCTGCTGTAATTACGGGAGTTTCTTGGAAGGAGGCTGCAGCAGCCTCTGGCCACCCCTTGCTGCAGCTCAACTTGGCAAGCCACCTACGGCATCCATCTGAACCAGGGAAAGACAGATTCTTTGGCACTAGTTGCACAGAGATCCAAACCAACTGCTGCAGGAAGCCTTCAGTTTCAATGAAGTCTGCTAAAACACCTCAAAATCTCTTCACCTAACACAAAACACCGGCACAAGACAAAACCTAAACATTCAAGGTACTGAAGCAATGAACACTGACTCGCTGTAAGCATCTGTGTCAAGTTTCAGCTTTAAATCAGTCTGAAGCTAAACACTTTACACATTAAGTTGAACCAGCTTAAAGACCTGTACCATTCTGCCTGCTTTTCAAAGAGGACAATGATCTTAAACTGCACATTACTATTTTCATTAGCAATAAAAGCTCAAATAAACTTTCTCTGAATGCTCTGATTTCTCCTCATAAAGATTATGACATCTTTATCTCACTACTACCAAGAAAATGACCACAACAGCTTCCAAACAAAACTCTATTTAATGAGCCATACTCAGCTGGTATCAGCAAGGACTCTCAGCACCCTGCAGGTTTATGCCTTGATGGCATATTTCCGGGCTGGGTACAGACGTTCCTTTCGCTGCTGTTTTTTGGTCTTCAGGTTTTCTTCATGCTTGTTTAACCTGCGCCGCATGGCACGAGTCTTCTTCGGCCGCAGATCGAGAGGTTTATACTTTTTGCCCTGTTTGCAGAAACAAACAGTTAAGGGACTGTGATGTCCCAGTCAGGTGCATGAGCACAAAGAGAGCAGCACCTTCTAAACAAGCTGCTACACCCCAAAGAGGTGATGCTGTCCAGAAGACCCTCCTGGCAACAGCAGATTCACACCAAGCTTACAGAACTTGGGGGAGGCTTGCAATAAAAAGGAGTCACGACTAGAGAACTTGAAAACTGAACACACACATTTTCTTCTTGAGCTTTTAAGGAACAATCTACAAAACTGTTTCTTTCTTATGAAATATGTATACGAAAATAATAAGAGATAAAAGATCACTATGTGAGATGTTTGTTCTTACCTTGTAAAACTTCCTCAAGTTCTCCTTCTGGGTCTGATTGATAACAGTTAAGACTCTGGCAATGGATTTGCGCACCACACGTCTGCAGGTGGGAACAGAAGGATGTCACAGAACACACTAACACAGCAGCGCCACAGATCTAAAACCCAGTATAAAGGAAACCTGTGCATGCTACAACCACGTAACTTACGCTGCAGCACCTTGTAGCAAAACACCAACAACTTCCGGCACATCTCAGCTCAACATCTCCGACCACAAACTCATTTTCAAGCCTTTTTGTACCGTTTCCCCCCCTTTCTGCGCAGTACAAAGGGGCCGCACGGATCATAATGTGCTCCTCAAGCACAGCGCGCCCCAGCCCGAGCCTCCTACACGTTACCGGCAGCCAGCACCGCTCACTCCCCCGCTAAGGCTCAGGCAGGCCCCTCCGCCTGCCCCCCGCAGTCACACCGACAGGCGTTAACCGGGACGCGGCCCGGGCCCCACTCACATCTTGGAGAGCTTGGAGGCGGCCCCGCCGGTCACTTTGGCCACGCGAAGCTGAGACAGCTCCACCTTCAGATCGTCCAACTGCTTCAGCAGCTCCTCCTTCTTCTTCCCGCGTAGGTCTCGGGCCTTGATCTTGGCCTGCGTACGGCGGCGAAGCCGTGAGCCCCGCTCCCGGGATCCCGCCGCGATCCCCGCCCGGGCCGCCTCCCCGCGGCCTCCCGCCGCCCCTCCGGTCCCGCATCATCGCCCACCCCAATCTCCCCCGCATCGTGACGGCGGCGGGGCCCGGCCGGCAGCGAGACCCGCGCGGATGCCGCCGGATTGTACCGGTGGAAGCCCGCAATTGCTCACCATGATGGCAGCACCGGCGCCACTCCGGGCAGAAGGGACGGAAGCCGCGAGGGGACAAGAGGAGGCGCTGTCGGCCGGAGCCTACCAATCCGCGGCTGGACGGGGGGAGGAGCCTGCGCTGCGCACCCCCCTCCGCCGGCAGCGCGGTGGTACCGGCCGCGGGCCCTGACAGGGAAGGCGGGAGGCGGCGGCGGGACAACGGTGGCAGCCCCGGGTACGGGGCTGCAGCCCTCAGGAGGGGGCTGCTGCTCTGCCGCAGCGGATTTCTGCTGCCGCCGAGCCCTGGTGCTGCCGCCGCCGTCCCCCAGTCTCTTTCAGCCGCTGGAGCCGTCAGAGTGCAGCTGGTGCTCCCGCGCCGGCCGAGGTGCGGCACTCGTACCCCGGCAGCGGTGGGGATGTGACGGCGGGCGGGGCGGGAGCGGGGCTGGGCTGGGCTGTGCACGCAGGTGGCCGGGCGGGAAGGAGCCGGTCGCGTCCAGTCGCGACAGGCCCGGCCGCACGGTGGCGCCGCCGCACGCCGCCTCCCTCCGTATCCAGGCAGCGGCGCCGAGCCTCACGGCACCGCGCGGGCGGGAAGGGGGGGGTCTTGAGTGACGGCCAGTGGAGCCAATCAGAAGGCTGCCTCGCCGTTAGCCCGGGCGCTCCTCCAATAGGTGCGGGTGAGGGCGGGGCGAGGCCGGCCCAGACTAGCGTGAGGCGGCAGCCGCGCTCCGTGCAGCCGAAGCCTCCGCCGCGGCGGCGCTGGCGGCTGTGCCCGGGAGCGGTGGGAGGTGGCGCGGATGGTGAGGGGAGCTGCCCGACAGCGCCTGCCCCGCACCGGCCCGGCCTCCAGGTGTGGGGGGCGTAGCGGCGGGGCGCGGGCGGGGCGGCGGCGCGGGCGGGCGGGAGCGGCGGCGGCTGCGGGCGCCTCGGGGCAGGCCCGGCGGCGGCGCGCCCCTCACCGCTGTCTCGCCCCTCACCGCTGTCTTGTCCCCGCAGAGCTCCAGGCCCGGCGGAGGAACCCTGCCGCAAGCGGAAGCCCAGGTAAGGCGGGAGCGGGCGGCTCGGCAGGTGCGGGTGGGGGCGGCCGGGGCTGTGCGGAGCAGCCCGCACCGGTGAGCAGCTCCCGACGGCGGGCGGGCTCCGCCGCGGTGTTCGGCGCCTTCTGAAGCTCCCCGGAGCTTCCCGCGGGGTCTGTGCTCTGTGCCAGGGCTGCGATGGCGGTGCAGGCTGCCGAGGCCCTGTGCCTGGGTGCACGGAGCCGCGCTCACCGCTGTCTGCTGCGGACGGGGAAGAGGAATACGATGTGACACGTCTTCTGCTTAGGCCTTGCTTTGCAATGGAACCGCGATCGTTTCCAAAACGGTCCCCTCTTCATTAACTTCTTCGTTCTTGATGTTATCTTCCCTCTCCCGGCTGGTGGGGCTGGAGGTGTTCAGTGTGCTTTTGACAGGTAGCCGGATTTCTGCATCGGAAAGTGAATCCTTTTGGATGGAATGTTGCCGGATTTTACAAGAGCTGTCTGTGCTCGATATACAAATTGCAGGTTCGATGGAACCGTCCTGGATTTGCTCAGGTTTTGAACTTTTATCTCAGCAGCTTCCACCTCTCCAAATGCTTGTTTTGTACTGAGAAATGCTTTGGACAATAGGTGATGTGAAATGCCTTTGGGGGTGGAAGCTGGAAGGTTGTTCTGTTGTGTCAGTGCCCCCAAAAATTCTTACCCATTGCTGGCTGTGAAAATGCCCATAACCAAAGTCTGTCCCAGGTGAAACACTGAGGGTCAGTACTGTGGGTTTCTAGAGTCTGGGTCTAGTCTCCCACCACAGAACAGGACCTGTTTCCATCAAAGTATGTGTCACACTTCTGTACTTCATTAACCAGGCTCCAAGAGCCTGTGGTTAAGCTGTGTCTTAGCTAAGCAATTCTAGTCTTCCAACCTGCAAAATGGATCCCTTAATATAAAAACCTGCTAGATTTTGCAAGAGCTGCCCAAATGCAACCTGTATTTTTCAGTATCTTGTCTAAACTGATGCAAAGCAGCACTGTTAAACCCCATGATGACTTAAAATGCTGGTATAAGTGAGTCTCCCAGCATGCGTGTGCTCTCCCACCATTCCTGTGAGCAGCAGAACTGCAGTGTTGGAAGCAGCCTTCAGAAATCCTGGAAGATCATCCTGGTACGGCTCTTGCTGGGGAAGTTTGCAGATGCAGTTACTGCCTGGTGCATCTTCTCACCTTGTGTGAACCCTGCAGTGTAACAGTTGTAACTGCCCTGGCTCAGGCTCATAAGGGAGTGATTAAGAAGCATCACACCTAACTGTAGGGCATGATTTTAGAAGAGATGATGCTTTGTTTTCGAATCAGATAAGTCACTCTCAAAATGTTTTGATGAAGTGAATCACAATTTATGTTAAATGAAAGAAACTGGGTCACCTAAGTAGAAGCAAAGAGCATAATTCTCTCCAGTTGTGCTGAAATAATACAGCTAGCCTACACAAATGTAATAGCTGAGTTCTTTGCTACAGAAAATACAAAAAACATTCCTAGAAACTCAGTGGAGAGAAGAAATAATTTGCTGTGCTACAAAGGAGATTGTGATCATTGTTTTATCTTGAAATACAGGTGCAATACAGCATCAAAATTCAATTGACAATCCATGTCGTTTACAAACACTGGAAGATTTTATCATGAGGATGACTACTTGGGCTAAGTGCTACATGTAAGAATGATGCAGCAGCAGTGCCGTGGTCTGTGTTCACCCTGCTTAGTTGCGAAACTAGATCTACAAGTGATAGAATGCTGAGAGTGCCTAGCAGTGGGAGGAATACATAGCTTGCCTGTGTTGTTATTCACCTCTTTTATTTGGTGGAGGGAAGTAATAAAAATGGAGAATAACAACTCAAAATATTGATGAAGCTTATAACCTGAGTCAGTTCTGCATTGAAATGAGATTGTGTTGCTGGTAACGCTGCACTGAGGGCTGAGATTTAGGAAGGTGGGAGGATGGGGGCTGTAACTCTCCCTCCTCTGCTGCCAGTGCTGCTCCTGTCACATGATGTGACTGCACAGTCCTCTGCTCGCACTGCAGCTGCACTCGCCCTGGCATGTGCCAGCCAGATTTCGCCTCTTTTTGCATCACTTATATGCTGGTTTGGCTTTGTTGGCTTTAAATGGAGTTGCTGATAAGCTGCTGCTGTATAAATGGATGATGGGAATACATTTGATCCTCTGGACACATTAATTTGTTGGCTTGGCTTTTATTCTGCATGGTGGCAAGGAAGGAAGAGTTCTGGTGTGAAAGTGTTCTGAGGTGATGCCTAAATAGATAAAATTTAACTGTATTTTAAGTGAATTCCCCTAACATGCCCTCCCCAGCCCCCTAAAGCATGATACAGCCATCAGAGTCTTATCACAGAGATCTGTGTCTTGATGTCTTTTTTAGCAGAACTTTTCATAGCTTTTGTTTCATCTAAATGCTCATTTGGAGCAGTCTTTGGAGAAGGAAAACCGGGACCTGTACATGCAAGTGTTACAATAATTTTCTTTGGTATTCTTGCATAAGAACATACTGCAGGCTTGGCTTTTGTAGCTGAGCTGCTCTCTTTAAGCACATAAGCTCTGTTCTGGATGTGGTCTTTAAACAGGCTAGAAACAGAGGTATGGAATGGGGTATGTGTTGCAGCAGAAGGAAACAGTTTAAGGGAGCAGACCAAATTGTGTGTGGGAGCTGCATGGCGGGTCAAATAGAGGTCTGTTTCTATAAAGTATGTAAGTTAGTTGCCAACACAAATATTACCTAGCAGTTTACATGTGCTGAGAGAACACAGTACAGCCCTGCAACAGGAATAGAATAGAATAACCATCAATCTGGTTCCCTGAGGATGTCAGTCAAGAAAGGAAGTGTGCGGTGCCAAAAAGCCTGGATGGAACAGCAGGTTTAGAGGACTCGTCGTTTGAAGTATTTTTAATTATTGCTATTATGATAATGGAACACAGACTAGAGGCTGAATTTTTAAAATATAATTAAAGCAGAAGGCAGCAGAGGGATTTCTCTGCTGTGTGGCTGAGGAATGGTCTAGGAGCAGCTCCTACTGAGGAGGGTGAATTCCCAGTGATGATGCTCTCCGTGCAATTCCCGAGCTTGCTCACATCTTGCTGCCAAACACAGTTTGGAGAGAAGAAGTGAATTGACCAGATCAAAAAGCTTTCCTGTGTATTGCATTCTCTTTTGTCAGGGTAAGGCTCCAGTTGGATAGCAGCCACAGATACCTTGGCTGAGAGTGCTGACAAGATGCAGAGTGTGATGATAGCTGCCCTCCAGATCGGACGCTGGTCTGGACTGCCATTTGAACCATCTAGTAAATCATTTGACTTGCCAGAAAGAGCTCTCTTCATCACATTAACATCAAGCTACCTTGTATAGCAGCCGTTCAGTTCTCCATTAATGTGTGAATCAAGGAGTTAAAACATCAGTCGTTTTCTGAGTAAAGAAAGGGGAAAAAATCGATCTTGTAACTCGGATGCTTTTCAGGAATTTGGCCGCTCTGGATGCGAGAGGCATGTGCTTTTCCGCCCTGCTTTAGGTGATGGCTTAGTTCAAGGGGGCCCAGATTTGGCTCAGTCAACAGTTGTGTTGGCGTCTTGCCATTAAATGTGCATAAAATGGAGCTGACTGCAATTCCCTCCTCACTCTAACATGGAGGGGCAGCCCATGGAGACCTGAGGCCCCGGTATGCCTTGCTGGAGGTTGACTTGGCTACGAGAGGTGTCCTGGGATGTTCAATCCCTGCAGCATAAGCTGCTGTATTATGACTTGTTTGCTGTTTTTGAGTCCCTTGGTTGTATTTGAGTGTCTTGTCATAACTAATGCATTTCAACCCTTGTTGTGCCTGTGCTTCCAAAACCTTTCTCCCTTCTCACAGTGGCTTACGTGCTTTTCCAGATGCACAAGGTTTGTATCTCACTTGCAGACTCTTCCTATGACTTCATGGATTATGTGCATTGCCACAAAATGAAGATAAAACACAACTGGCATTTTAGCTGCTCCAAGAACATTGTGTGTAAATAAACCACTGAATAGTTTAGCTTGTGAAATGTAAATACACACAGCATGGCCTGCCGCAGCGGATGGTGTTTTTCTGTCTCCCTTCTTCCCCTCCCACCCCTGCCAAGAGTAGGCTAGCCTGATGTTCTTTTTTTCTATTGCTCTTTCATACAATGCAAATGACTACTGAGTACCATGTAGGTGGCATGCAGGCACCACTACAGATTCATGATTTGAATTTGGATGAAAGGAAGCGCTTGCATCTTCTTCCACGTTGCTTCTGAACCATCTTCTGTGGATCCCAGGGCCCTGGTGACCCAGAAATTTTGCCTCGGTCTGACTTTGAGCTTGAGCTCATTTTCAGTAGCACACGACTTAAGTCGGTAGAAGAACAGAGGCCCAACTGTGATGACATTTTTAGCCTTTGCCCTTTGTTCATCCTGTACACAAAAGGTCATGAACTGCAGTGAAAGCAGGCTCACAGAGGGCACAGGATGGACAAAGGTGGAACAAATTGCCAGTGGCAGAAACATAAAGAAGAGAAGCAGAAGTTTTGTATTATGAAGGTAATTGAAAAAGGCCACGTGCATCCCATGGTGATACCATGTCTCTTGTATTTAAAGTGAGTCCACCCATAGTGCGTTTAGAGGAGCCTGCTGGTGAGGTGTGGCTTGGATGATCGCAGTGTAGAAGGCGAGAAGGGACAATACTGTTTCCATGGTATGCTGTTAGTGAGCAGCTCTGCATTGTGCTGGGAGCAGAGATGCCAAAGCTGCAGCTCTGGATACAGACAGGTGTGCTTTAACCAATAAAAGGATTTTTAAAGATGTGTAATATAAATGAAAAGCCTGATTCTATAGAACAAGCACTTATTTGAAGCTAAAATAGTAGGATTGACACTGCATCCTGGATATTCAAGCTCATTTGACTTGGAATGCGGTTGAATTTGTGGTGTAGGCTGTTTCCCTATAGGAAGTCTTGAGGCTGTTCCTGCTGAGATGTCAAAGGTAATGCAGAGGTGGCAGCTCATGTTAGCTCTGAGGTCTAAATATAAGACAGTGTTTGCAAAACTTCTGGTCTCCTGATATGCTGAGGAATGAGCCACACATTCATGTGAAAGTATTAAACTTTCAGTTTGCAGTAATAAAATAAAATTCTTATATAACTCTGTGCCTGCTGTCTGTTACTTCTACTTGCTATAGCAGCCTGCATCTGGAGAACTGTGCGTGTGTGTCTTTATCCTCTTTTCTTGTATATCCCCTTCCTTCTCCTTTCCCCTCTTTAGGAAACAAAGTTTATGCAATTGCACAGTCAGGAGCCCTCTTTTTTCTTCTTCTCCAAGCAGCTTTTAAATCACTTGCCTGATGTCACCAGTGTTGCTGTAAGAAGAAAGGTCCTGAAGGTTTTCTAGTGAGTATTTTTCACAGAACTCCAGGGAAGTTGAAGGAGAGCAATGTGTTTGCTGCACCTACTGATGGGAAGGGGGGACGGAAGAGTTGTATTTTGTAGGAGGCATCTGGCGAGCTGCTTGGCATTTGTGGAGTCCTGGGATGGTTGAAGCAGGTCCCTTTGTGTGGGAGAGCTGGGGTTATTGTGGTGGGTAGGGAAAGAGCAACGGCCACATGCAGGTCAGTCTGGACCAGGCTTCCTCGCTGTGGAGCAGAGGATGAATGTTCATGCACAAACGTGTCGCTGGCTCAGTTGGGTTTGTATGGTTTTGCTATTTTTTAAGATGTTTTCCCTCTTGCAGAAGTAGGACTAGCTCTAAAGGTTAAGCAAGTTAGCTGTAAAAATAGTGTATTTTAATAGAAAAAACACTTTCTTGGAGATTTCCCAATAAGAGTAGAACTGGTTGCATTTACAGTGAGGCTGGCTGAAAATCACCTGCAATTGGCTTATAAAATAGAGGTTTCTTTACCCTCCTAGCTCACCTCCTTTTAAATAAGCAGAGAGAACACAATTTGACCAGTATTATCAGCTAAATAAAACTGCTTCTTGGTTCTCTTTCTTAAGTTACATTTTAAGTTGCTTTTTATTGTGGTGTTCAAACAGAAAATGTCTCCAGAGTCTGGGCTCTGCCCAAGTCCTTTTCATTGTGCATTCTGTGTGCATGTTTACACAGCAGTGAGCATAGCTGGTACAGAAACACTTCAGTTCTTTAAGGCAAACCTGGGTGCTGCTGTCCTGGACTGCAGACCCTGCCAGGGGTCCATGGTGGGGCCTCAGCCTGCTCACAGATGCCTCCTGCAGCATCCAAGAGAGCTACAGGGAAAGGACCTTGGTACCTCTGGAAGAGCTGCAGCCACTGCAGTGCAGACGTGCCCCGAGGTGAACAGTGGTTGGGGATGAGAAATGCCTGTGTTTGGTTCCAACTCTTCCTAAAAACCTTGGAATAATAAAGAAATCCCTTTTCCCCCCATGTATTTTATAAAGAAATGGTCTGATGTATAATTGCTCCTTGCAGTTCTCTCTGAAGTACAGACTCCAGCAGTCTGCAAAGCTCTCAGTGCGTGCCCACACGCATATGGGAGGCTGTGCTGGTGATTTATTTATTTCAGTGTTTCTTGAGTAGAACTGAGTGGTGTCTCAGGAGCTTTGGGACAGTGTCTCTCAATGGAAAATGAGGTGTTCTGGTGAGAGGAATGAATCTGGGTTCTAATTAATTTGGTGTTGTCTGAGGCTCTGTCAGGACTAGCACTCCCAGCAGATTACATGGAAACGCACAGGTGGGTTTCCCAAAACGTGCAGTATAGCTTTGAGAGAAAACGTGAGAGCGAGTATACCAGTCTGTAGAAGGAAAGGAGAGGCAAACACAGAGCAAAGGTAGACATCTTGCTTGATGAAGGTAAGATCAGATGTTGGTAGAGATTTGAGACATCATGATTCTAGGCTTTGGGTATGAATGATCAAGAGCTTAGTTTTATCTGTTACTAATCTGCAGATAAGAAATGGATAACAACTGGGCATCTGGATTTATATCCTGTCCTCTTTTGGCAGTGATGCTGTGGGAGATGTGCTGGATGAAAAGTGGGAAAGAGAGCTGGTCTCTGACTCAATGTTTGAGACATATAAAATCCTGATAGATTGGAGCGTACTTTCCACGACTGGTTTCTGTAGACAACGGTTCTAAATAACATCTTAGCTTGGGGAAGTTCCTGTATCGGTAAGGTAGCTGTAGAAAGTCTCTTTGCTTTTGCTTTTTGGTTACCACTTGCATCTCTAAGTAAGGAGTGGGAAGCATTTGAAAAACAGAGTTTATATTTCTGTGCTGTGATTTCCTGATTAAAATGGTAAACCTATCCACAAAGCTGTGAATCAGGATGCAGCCATTACTTACCCTTATCATCATTTCACTTGTCTAAGCACATACTTCCTGCTCAACTCCAGAATGTTAATATTAATCAGAGCCTCAGCTGTAAATCTCAAGCCAACATGATGCAAGCAATGAAACTGCAGATCAGCAGGAGTTTAGGGGCTGTAGTTGACATGGCAGTTTACTGTTCTGTATTACATCTGTCACAGACAGTTCTGATTCTCAGGCTAAAGGTTAATCAATATAGTCAACCCACTCTCATTCAACACTCAGTTTGCAGCTTGATGACTTGGGTGGGTGGAAAAAACATGAGCATTTCCTCCAAAAAAGAGAATGCTCCCTCCTATCCCCATCCCCAGCACTTACCATCCTGGATTGTCCTGTTAGATGTGCATGTGCTGTCCTGTTCAGGAGGTTGTAGATGGGTTATTTAAGGGACAAAGCTGAAGGCTCAGTAATCAGAACGGCTGGAGCTTGAAATAAAATACAGATTCTTGTTCTAATTTTAGTCAAGAAGCTTCACTGGGTCACATTGACCATTGATCTCTGCATTGTAATAAACTTGTTCCTGTGCATAGCGTGAATGTTTAATATCCAAACTTTATCCTTGGAAGGCTGCAACACCATGGCAATCAGTAGTTGTAAGGTGTGTGAAGTCACCTGTTAAGTGACACAGTGAGTAATGTGTTCTGATTTTTGGAAGAGTTGCTTCTCCTTCTGCTTACAAAATCATTCTGTGTTTTCTGAAAGGGATAGTTTATAAATGTCTGCAAAGTTAAGATTAAATTCTTCTGGTTTTGAAGTAAGAAAGACAGGTTGTATATCACATAGTGAAATATGGGTGCTCCATGCTGCTCATGTTCAGTACTATGGACTCTAGTTTCACTAGTAAAATACCAGACAGAACAATGACATTGCTGAAGTCTTTGTAATGAGATTGTTTGCCTCTGGTAGTGTAAGATGAGACTTTTAAGTCTAATACTGGTGCTCTGGTGAGAAGAGAGCTGTTCTTTCAATTGACCATTTAGGTGAAGTAGATAAAACACTGCTAATAGGTACTCACAGCTTTTATTGTCTAAGTACTCATGTAGTGAGGTGGTTCAGGTTGACCGGAAGGCAGGAGGTGCTCAAGATTTCACAACTTGAGCAGAAGTGATGGTTTAGAAAAAGAGCAGTTTTACAAGTGCTGTGTCAGGAGGTAGAGGTGCCACATGCAGCCAACTCTGCTCTGCAGCTCTAGGAAGCTGCCCCCAGTTTTACCTGTCCTTGCTTTCTGCTGCCCCTACAGCATCACTGAATTCAGTGGAGTGAGGTTTTATTTGCTTGAAGTTAACGACTGCCCTCTTCTACCAGGCAGCTGAAGGGCAGGTTATGGTGATCCAGGCTAAGTAAGAAATATGGCAAAGGAGACGTGCATGTAATCAGTTATTTAACATATTTATGCTTGACTTTTGTCGTCAGTTAGATTTCCTTGACTGTTCACAAAGCGTGCCTTGCTTTACAGGCCCAAGCCCCGGTATAGGGACAGTTGGGAGTGCATACTGTTGACCTCAGCGCTTTTTCCCTTCCAGCTGAGCCTGTAAAAACCTTAGCCAAAAGACAGCAAACCACAGGGAAGTGGAAACGTGTGTGATGTAAGTGACATACAACTGAAAATACTGGCTAGCATCATGAAACTCCCATCCGCTTCCCATACTCCTCCTCCTGCTGCTGTTCAGCCCCAGCTGCTTTGCACAGTCTCACCATCCTCTGGGATGCTTCTGCCCTGGGTGCTGCAATGGGAGGAATATGTAAAATCTATTAATGGATTGGACAAAGCGAACCTGGAATTGTGGGTTCTGAGAGGGCGTTGGAAAGAACCTGGCACGCAAAGTGCCGTGCTTGGCTAGCACAGTTTTTCTGCCTTGTATGGCCTGAGGAGTTGGCAAAATCTTGTGGGAATAGTAAGTTCTGCTGTAAGTCGCCATTTTCTGACTTATTTTAACAGTCTTTTAAACCAATGTTTCAGTGTCTCCTTTTGCAGACTCTGGAGATCTTTTTTTCTGACATGTGCTACTTAAGAAAAATTGTCATGCAAACCAGCCCAGCAGTTTCTTTTGCATGAAATCAAGGGAAAAGCATCCAGCACAAGAACAAAACATTAAATAGGTGGTATTTCTGGTATAGCTGGGCTCTCAAAATTGGCAGAACTGTCTGCAGAAGAGGAGCACAGATCTGTGGGGTTACTTCTAGAATCAAAGAGAAGGAGAGGTCCGCTTTGTGGATGTACTGCTGGTTGCATTTTATGTATGTTTTTCGTGTGGAGCTCAGCAGTCCCCTAGGAAAGGGCCATGTCAGTAGCTATATTCCTCCCTTTGCTGTGCCCACTTGCTGTTTCTAATAATAATTCTTTCTCCTGTATGTAATGGTGCTGCATTACAACCTTCAGCGCAGGGAAGATCAACTCGTGATAGTTGTTCTTTCTTTGTACAGCACCAAACACCACCACCTCCAGAGCATGAAATGCCAAAACCAGTGCATGAGAGAAGTAATTTTATTTGCCTTCTCTGTTAGCTGGCAAAGCCACCTTCACCTGTCATTTCACAGCTCCTGTTGTCCTTTTCCTTTCCATCTTCCCATCTTCCCTTCATATTCAGGCATATGGCTGAATGAACCTGGGGTTTGAATTGCAGCAGCGCGTGTCTCATGCCTGTAACCAAAATGCTTCTTTCAGTTGAGATCTGTGGAAGAATTACCTTCTGGCAGCTTTTCTAAGGATCTCTCACAGAGGGAAATTATCATGCCTATGACTGCTTAATTCTTTATTGCTTTTATTTCTTTCCTGGTTCAACTCCTTGTTTTGTTTCCTGATTATTGTTTTCCTAGAAGGAAGACTCTTATTGCCCATGAAGTGATTCAGCCTAAATATCTTTATAATGTATTTTCTGTATGGTGTTATTTTATGATCATCATGAAGATAAATTTAACATGTAATGAGTAAGAAACCAATCCATTCTGGGCAGGACTCATGCTTGCTTTGCAAATGTAATCTTTAAGGATTTTCAGTAGTATTTTCCACTATACTATGTACATGTTTAAATACACTGGGTTGTTCAGAAGTGCTCCTGTTTTCTGAGTGCAGTGCATGGCAGAGCCAGAAAATGCCTTTAATTATCCTGCAGGAGAATGAAACTTGATCTCATCCACTGTCACTGTCCAAAGATGATTACTGGGAGCACACTCATTCTGCCATCCCAGAGGTGTTACGTCTGTTGTGCTCGTATCTTCAGGTCATTAAGAACAGAGATAGTTTCATAATTGTGTGAGTAACTAAGGCTTCACTTCATTCTACTTCAGCTGTGATTTAGTTTTTTTATTGCCAAATAACCCAGAAACAAAGAGGGCACATTGAGGCTTCTCTGTTTAATTTATGATGTACTAAGGGGGTAGCTTTTCATGAGCACCCAGTCATCTCCATCCATTATGTTGCCTTAGATCAAGTGTCTTCTGGTCACCTTCGTCCCTCTAAAAGCATCAGTAGAAAATGTGATTAATTTTAGCATCTTACTGTTTAGGTGCTTAAGGTTGAGTGAGAGGAATATCATCAAAATGTTTGACCCTGAGGTTAGGCTGAGCGTGTCTGGAAAGATGAGAGATGCAATTTTTACAGATCATGATACAGGGCAGAGTTTTCTGAGTTTCTCAGGGTTCTCTTCTGTTTTTCAGGTCTCTGCTTTTTGTGCTTGGGGTAGCTTCACTTTAAAGTGGGACTTGATTAGGCATTTGCTGGTAGTTTGATCTCTAAAGCAGTGCAAGCTAAAGGCTTGATGTAAGTGTACACATGTTGGTGTATGTGGCTTTTAAGATTTCAGCTTACTCAGTTGTAGATTGAAGATGTAATTTTGCGGGTACTGTAGTTTCACATCTGTGTGGAACAGTTTTACCAGTCGGGCTTCCCTCCTGGAGACAAATTTGAGTGACTGAGACCTACTTCATCTCTTCTCTTTCAAAAAGTAAATCCCTTCCTATACTAGGAAGTGTGCTCCTTTTGTCTGATTCTTTGTGTCTTTGCCTCTCACCTCAGCTGTGGAGAAACACATTTTAGCCTAAACTTAGGCTACTGGTTGCCTTAATACCATTTGAGTGGCTTGATTGCAATAATTGTGTTTTCATTTCTGAACCTGTGAGTAGAGGAAAACTAAATGTTCTAGTGGAGTCTCTCCAGGGTATAGTAATTTTTAAGGTCTCTGTTCAATGTCAGAACGTGCTTAAGTGTGGCTTGTTTCCTAGGTTCCTTCATCAGCATCTCTGATAAGAAGACAGGTTGTTCCCTCAGTTTGTGACAGTTTCTATGAGCAGAAAAGGTGCTTTTGCCCTCTACTTCAGTAGTAGGTCCCAACCCATGTGCCAACGGCTGTATTGAGAGGCTGACCATACAGAATAGTCTCCATAACCTAAAAGAGATTTTTTTTTCTTCTTTCTGTGCATCTCAAATATCTTTTCTGCCTTCTGATACGTCTTGGAAGGTATCAGAGGCAGGCAGTGGATTTTATAGCATATCTTTTGTTGATGGCATAAAACCCCTCTTTGCAGCTGGTATAGCAGACTCCTTCAATGTGAGACCTGTAGTTGGTTTTACTTGCCTGCACAGATTCAGTTGGCCCCTGTTAGCAGTGGTTGGGTAGTTGGATAGTATAACTTAGGGGTAACATAAAATAAAGTCGACTTTACCATTAAAGGAGTGATACACAGACTGTATGAAACATACTTTGCAATTTAATCAAGGTCCTAAATATTTGACAATGTATCTGAAGCTGCTCTAGAGTGCCTGGTACCACAGTGGAGCGCTGCCGAATCCAAGGGCCTTGCTGAAGGATTTAGGTCACCTTTGCTGCGGAGCACACAGGACCTGGGGTATTGTCCCTCTTCCTGAATCACCTCCTGGCTATTTCTGACATCTGTGTCATCTTTAAGTCATTGGTGTTGTTTGTTTCATGCTGTGTGAATGTAAGTGTTCAGAGATTTCAGACACAGGCTGGTGCTTCATAATATTCATTTCCTGCTTGCTAAGCTCATGCCAACAGCTTGTGACATCTGGTTGGTGTGTTCTGAACACTCTTAGCTGTCTGGCACCATGCTGCAGTTACCAAACAACATGTAAATACTTCCTACCTTTTTCTGGAGTTCTTCAACAAGTGGTTTGTGCAGTACACCCCATGTCCTTGCACTAGGGCTCTAGTGCGCTGTCACCTGGGTGTGTAACAGATAAGTGCATCTTGTCTAAACTGGGAAGTCACTGAACTGCTTGGTTGGCAAGATCTGCTCACTGACTTACCCCAAAAGCTGGGGAGGAACTGCCAATTTCTTCTGCGTTTGGTGGGCATGAACTGTGTGTTCAGGGAGGTAATTCTAAAGTCTGGTTATTGTGAAGTTGTTTTTGTAACAATTAAAAGATGCGTCTGGATAGTTCCCAATGACTGCATGGAGTTCACTTTGCACAAAGAGCATCCAGACTGAGCCTCTGCACAAATGGAAACTTGTTGCTTAACGAAAGTGTTTACCAGAACTGGTAGAGAAGTTGCTGGAAGTAAAAGCTCTGCATTTGCCCAGTTAGAGATGTGTTTATCTTGCACTAAAATTCTTAGAGCACAGAAGAGCTAAAGACCTGGCAGCCATTTCCAGAGGAGCTGCAGCTGAGAAAGTAAGATTTTTAAGAGCCTCTCTGCCTTTACAGGCTTTCCTAGTCCCTTACGTACCCAATAGTAGGATTATTTCCATCTGTTTTGTTCAGGTGATTCCTGGACAATATGCCATTTTGCTTAGATGAACAGTAAAAATAGATCTGCAGGTATAATTGTGGGCAGTGCGAGCCATGGAATTAAACACTCATGAGGAAGTAGAGAGGAAGCAGGATATTTTTCAGCATTCTGTCTAAAATTGCTAGGTTTTAGCAATAGGAACTTGTGAGCTACAGTTTTCAGCAGTTAAAGAAACTGAAACGTGAATAGGACTGAGGCTACTCTCTCTAAATACAGCTGCAGGATAAACACCTCTGCAGAAGGGCAAATTGAGAGAGGATTTCTTTGTCCAAGTATGAAACCCAAGTTTGTTACAGTCCTTTTGTTGGCCATTTTGTGTTTGTGAAGACACTCCTCAAACTTCCTTTATTTTATGACTCTTGTACATCTTTTAGTTTGCTCTGTTAAGTAGTTCATTGTGTAATCATTAGCCCCATGCTTTGATTCTCAGCTGTTGTTTTTAATGAGTCTTGAGAAGTGTAACCTGTGGGAGAACTGCATGCTTTGTTTGTTTCCCTCCCCATGGATCTGTACGTGCATCTAATCTGGATGAGCTCATAGTAGCCCTCCATTTTTGAGTAATATGGCTATTTTCTTCTTCGTAGGACTGAGTTTGCCCTAAAAGAAATCATGTCATCAGGAGGAGCTGAAGATGATATTCCTCAAGCAGAGAGGAAAACAGTGACAGACTTTTGCTACTTACTGGATAAATCTAAACAGCTATTTAATGGCTTAAGGTTAGTGCATTTTGATACTATTCCTTCAGAAAAGCATTAGAACACAATGCTTTAGTATGCAAGCGATGCTGAAGTCAGGTGTACAATGAACATATCGAACTCAAACCCAGTAAGTCTGTTTAGGGAAGAACAGTGTGCACCTATGTGTAGGTAGTTTTGGACCTTGTATGTAAGAATGTAGAAGTTCACACGTTTCTGAGACAGTAGGGAAGGAAATGTGAGAAAGGAGAGCTGAATGTCTCAGGTCAGTTAACAGTAAACTACAAGTTGGAAATCTGTGAAATGGATGGAATTCATACTGAAGTGTTGTGTATGAAGTACACAATGAAGGGGCTAGGTGTGGCTGTATACATTCAACTGCATGCAATTCCCAAAACCCACAGTCTCTGTACCAAAAAAGGAATGAGATGGATCAGCCCAGGTGAGAGAAAAGTGGGGAGAGAATATTTTGAGGGAAGAAATTTAGGAAGCGACAAACAGAAACATCCAAACCATACCCTGTATGTGTCTAGTGAAACAAATGCTTACTCTGAACTGTGGAGAAATGTAAAATCTGCATTTATCTACAAAACATCTGCAATAACAGCCAGAAAGTCTGGCTCTTTTGTCAGCACCAATGAGAGGGGAAATAAGGAGAGTTCAAGGAAAATAGTTCACATTTGGACAGTGATACAGGCATCCTGTTAATGTCAGTATATGCTGAAGTTAAAGACTGGTTTATTTCTAAGAGCTGGTTTATTTCTAAGCTTTGCTGTCAAGTCTCTTAAGCAACATGGGGTTTAGCTCATATCTTGTTGGCAGTTCAGCGTCTTACTGGTCTCTGAGTAATACTGTATGTTTGGGCCCATATAGCTTGCTGTTATTCAAACACAGATGGTTAGCAAAGATGTTTTTAATTCCTCCACCCCCTGCTATTGATAATCCTTTCATGTGCTTTGGAAGTTGATTACCAAATCCAAAACAAACAGTTTGTGCTCCAAAATCTGAATGGTAAATGGGCAGTAGAGACAAGGAGTTCTTGATGGTTGCTTTCGACACCCCATGAAACAATCTAAAGTAAAAGGACTGAGATCTTGAGGCCAGGATTTGCAGGACCATATATGCCATTGCATTGGCTTTCTGATGCAGCTTGCTTGAAATTTTGGCTTGAGTCACTGAAGAGTACAAATTAATACAGTTCGTGTCTGGATGCCTAATGCTCAAGTTCAGATCAAAGAGACAGAATACCTACAGCCATTCTGTCTTTTCCTTTGGGCATGGAAGGAGTTGGTACTTGTATCAGATTTCCAGATGGGAGATGTAGTTTCTGTGTATATCCATGGTGCTTTGCAAAAAGAAATCTGCTTGTCCAACTACATGAAAAGAAAATAGAAATTACCTTTGGATGAAATCTAGGCAATAAAAATAGATGGGCTTCAACAGCTGGCTCTGCTCTGTGAAAATACGAACGTACCAGAGAGAGCCTGCCTCTGTCCGTACTGTAACTTGACACAATTAATGTAGTGTTTCTTGCACTGAACCTGACCCCTATTTCACCTGTAAGAGCTGTGATTCCTTTGGGCATAGTGACTGGATAAAGCAGCATTATAATTTTCAGGTGTCTCCTCTGTTAGTGCTTGTTCTTTTCTGGGTATTTCGCCTGGAAATGACTTGGCAGGTATCCTAATTCTTAGTCCAGTTGCCTGTTTTTCCCTCTAGGGTAATAAATGCATTTGATGCATGCCTGCCTTCTTCTGTTTTGAAGATGATGATGGCCTTTGCTGTTGTGTTATATGCCATTCTGTTCTCCCTATCATGTTTCATGGAAAAGAAGTGGTGGTGGAGGGAGAGGAGAGCAATGATTTCCTTCCTGAAACCTCCTCTGGGCACTTGAGCAACAGGGAGCTGAGCCGATAGCTGTGTTGGCAGCTGCTTAGCTGTTGCTGCTGCCAAAAATGCAAGGACTCAGCCTGCCACGTCTTTGTTTCAGTAGCATTTCCTTCCTCTCTTCCCAATACAGATGCCAAATACAGCATTTGAGGAAAACATATGATGATCTGCCAAGGTTGCTGCTCCAAAGTATACTTCATGCTCACACTACCACTGATACCGTCCTTTTGTGGCCATGCCTGCTAGAATAACTTAGAGGGGAGGTTGTCTTTCTAGCGTCCCTACTCCCTTTTTGAACACCCTGAGCTGTAAGTTAGAAACAACTGGTAATGAAGTATGTTCCAATAGCTGTTCTGTCCTTTCTCCACTCCCATTTGCTTTTTTCTTGGAGAAAAGGCTGGAAAGAGGAAGTGTGTTAGAAAGCAGTTTTTGTAGTGCACTGTCACCAGTTATTATTTTATTTTAATGTTTAAAAAGTGCTTAAATGTGTTCAGTATCACAGGGATGCTTGATGCCTTAAGAAATGCAAAGACTTTCCACATATATCATACTTTCTCAGATCAGGTCTCATTTTGCAGGCTGCAAGAATCACCACTGCTGGCCTTTTGTGGAAAGAAGTGATAATGGTTACCCATTTATTTTGTAGACTTTTAGCGAGATGCAAGTTGAATATCTTAGTTCTGTTCCATGCTGCTGCTGCTGATGCAGGAGCAACAGGACCCCGTTAGCTTCATGTAATGCTGCAGGCTGTACCCGATGTGGTACTGGGAAGGTACTGACTTCTCACACCAATTGCATCAGTAAGGCAAGTTACTGTGAGTGCTGCTGGTGTGCTTACTGTCTTGGTGGGTTACGAGATGTGATGAGGAAGCTACACCACATGCCGTTATCCCACTGCTGCTTAGGTTCTGAGAATAGGAGCTTGTAATTACTACAAGTCTAGGAACATAAAAGGAAATTGTCTTTTTTATCACCTGTCAAAACTGTGAATGTGTTTAAAGCTCTGAGTGTTAAACTTACAGTTATTCTAACCTTCCTTTTCGAAGCACACTGCTGAGTCTCTAGGACTTTCTCAACATCTTTATATCTCTGGAAGTTGTCCTTGTGTGACAACTTCCATGCGGTGCTGGCTACACAAACCTCAACACCTTTAACTGGTTTTCAGCCAGCATTACCTGGCTTCTGCCAACAGCATGGATGAAATGAATTACTGACAGAAAATTAATTATGAGCACATAAGTAGTGCTGGTCTTTGCTGAGACTATAAGCAGGAATTGGATAAAATTCTGGGCTGCCTGTGGAATTTATGTACCAGCCACTCTAGTGTGGCAAGAGAACTGGTCTTCTGTGCCCAGTATGAGAAACCCATCCTTTTAGAACATCTGAGTTTGTGTCTTCATGTCCAGTTTGGAATGTTTTAAAAGCCAGGAAACTTGAAACACTTTCCACTGAGTTGGAGTTGGAAGGTTGGAGGCTATTGTAATGAAGTGTGTATCTGTCTTCCTTGTTTGGATAGAACTGTCCTAAATCAAAGCATCTCTGTTCCCTCCCCTGCATCTGGATTCCTTCTCACTACCACTTCCTCCCTCTGGTAAAGCTCATAGTCATCAGTAGGAGAGGAGTGAGTATCCAGACCACTGCCTGTTCTCTTCCCAGCATCCTTAGCCAGGCACATCCTGGAGAAAGCTGAGCCTCTTGCCTTTTTCTCTCTCCATTGCTCCAGTATCCTTCTGTAGCTCTGGAAGCAGCAAAACGTCATGCTGTAATGTAGGTCTTCTGCTCTCAAGTTGGGTGTGTATTTGCTTCTGGACCATATTTTCCCTGTCTCCTTCATTGGGAGGAGCTGTATTAATAATCCAGTCTGCAATCAACAGAGTCTTTAGTACTCCTGGGTTATTTCTTTTCAAATAATGCAGATCCTCTGGTCTGATTAAAAAACCCTGCACTAAATGTCCTCTTTTGCTTATGCATCCGTTTTCTCACAGCAGAATTTCTTGATATGTGGGAGTGACACGCATGATGTTCAGAACACAAAACAGTGAATGGATGGCAGCAGTGGCAGCTCTTGTCTGCAAAAATCTGTGGTGAAACCACGGTAATGTATTGTCATAAATGAAGTTTTATTACAGCCATGTCAGAATACTATCAAAAGAACAAGTGCTACTGTCTGTTTCCATGGAGATCTTTCCTGTTCCCTGGGGAGCTGAGGAATTGCATGGTTATTGTGCAGCTATGCCAACTGCAATTAGGCGAGCACGCTGCTTGAGAAATACATATGTGGACACCCAGCAGCGACTGTGGACAGCAGCAGCGAACACGTGGGCACTGTGCTCACAGGGGCTTCTTAAAATGCCACTGGTATTCATCTATTCAGAAAGCAGTGCAGTGGGTTGAGGCAGGGTTTGCAAGAATGCTTAGGCTTCTCCGGAGGAAGGTGCAGCACCGAGGGAGAGACAGAGGTGCACAAGGGAAGGTGGCAGGTGAGGTGTAAAGAGTGTATTAGCTTATGATGAGGGGTATAAGCATGATCAGCAAATAATTATCTGCTTAGTTCTTCATTTGTGCACATACCTACTTCTCAGTGTTTGAGAGAAGAGGGTTTGTTTTCTTGTTTCCGTATGTTAGACCTTTGCTCAAATGTCCTCAGCAACTTTGCCTTGAAAGCTCAGTTTACTACTGGTAGAGTTCTTGGGGTCAACTTGCTAATTCAGGCATTCTTTAGGTTAGTGCCAGGGCCCTTTGAATGTATTATTATTTTCAAATGATTAGTGTTGTTTTGTATTTGTATTCACTCTTTTTTAACATTGAAACTTGTGGATGTGCTAATTAAATTTATCGCTACCTCTTGCTGTATCAAAGCCTGCAGTGTATCTTAGGCATGTATTTGGACACTTCCTTAACTTCTTTTGTTTAGCTGAAAAGTTTACATCTACTACAGTAGAAAGTGGTGAATCATTTATTGCAGTAAGTGCTTTAAATTTGCATGTGTTTGTATCGAGCTATATTTGGATGAAGATGTTGGTGCCCTGAAGCACATGGTTATACTCCTGTTTCCCACTCTCTACACCAAAGGATGTTCCAAGTTGCTGAGCAGCCAATTCCATGTTTGGGGAGATTTTTTTTACTATTATTTCAATTGTTTTGTTTTTTTTTAATCCTGCCCAAATTCCTTGGCATCTTCCTAGAACAGCAGCAGCAAGTACTGGAATGGTTTTCTAGGCTGGTAAGAGTCACAGCTGATAACAGATTCATTTTACATGTACTAAGCTAGGCCCTTCAAGCTGTGTGGGAAGTACAGCTGGCTGATGAGGAAAGGAATATTAATTTCCTTTTCTACCTAGGGTGCTGTTAAAGCAATTACAGAGAGCAGAAATGCGCCAGTATGCTGCTCTGGAGATAGCAGTGTACTGCTTTGCTTGCCTTACTCCTCCAGAGGACATGGAGTGGTTTCCAAAAGGAGGTGTTCCCCTCAGTCTCGACCTCCCACGTTTGGAAGTGGAATATGCTGCTTTTCCATGGCCATCTTCTGAAGCCCGGGATGTTGGATGGGATGTTAACCAGCAAAGTGGTTTGAAAGAGCATTCCCTGAAGAAATCATTCTTGAATCAAATGAAAGATTATGCCGTCTTGAAAAGGTGTTCCACTTGCAGAGTTGTACACCTCCTTTGAATCAGCTTCAGAACGGATTTGTAGGCAACAAGTGCTTAGTGAGCCTTCTGCTAGGAGTGAGAGCACAACCCTTCAAAGCTAAAATCCTTGGGAGTGCATCATCGTTGTGGGTTGGAGGTGGAGGGAAATATATCACATTGGAAATTGAGTGGAGGTATGAAAGCAGAGCTGAATTGGATTGACTAACTCAGTTATAGCACTGGAAACTGAGACCAGAAAGCCAGAAGGTCTCAGGTTCTGCCATGTCACTTGGTTAGAGGGTGACAAATTCTGTGGTGATACGTGGTATGTAACCCAACATTTGAAAAGTGACTAGACAGTCCCTCTGGAAGTAGGAAGCAATAATCAGATGACAGCACTGAAGAATTTTCTTCCCCCCATTGCAGTCCTTCTTGGTATATGAAATTAATATGCTGTCTGCTTTGTGGCATGTTTTTAGGGATACAGTGGTCAGATCATGATATATGTGCTTCCTACAAGCTAAACAGGATTTCAGTGGAGATTCCAGTAGCAGCAGGTTTTGAGTATATACAGGGATCATGGTTCTTGTTCTTGATGCAGGAGGAGTTATAAAGCATTTCAAGTCAATTCTGAACAAAACCATTCTGATATGGACACAAATCTGCTGCTGTCATGCTGGGCTGATTGGAATCTACTCCCTAACTCTGCGCTTGTCATGTCTCTCTTGCAGGGATTTACCACAGTATGGGCAAAAGCAGTGGCAATCCTATTTTGGGCGAACATTTGACGTTTACACCAAACTCTGGAAGTTTCAACAGCAGCATCGGTAAGGGAATGTTGTAGGCAGACATGTTCCATGGATTTAAATGCAACTTTAATCCTTGGTATGCCTCGGGCCTCCAGTGAAGATTGAGATTTCACTGTGTTATTCAAGCATGAAGGGAGAGAATAGTCACTTCCTGTAGCGCTTACTGTCTAATGAACTAAAATGTTGCAGAGTTTCCAGTGTGACTTTAACAAAACCCTTTGCTGTACTTGAATGCATGTTGCTTTAATGTATTACCAAGGAGAAGTTTCTGCAGCGCAGAACCCATCTGGAATGGTGTGAAGCATCCTGCTGCAGCGTGGGCTCTGATCTTTCACACCTTACGTTGGCTGTGTAGTCTGAGTGTTCTCCTGGGAAGTTGTGACCTTTTGTTGTGTGTATTTTGTGCAACATACTTATGTCTACCTCTTGCAAGTTTATGCAAGATGGGTGGTCCTTGCTCTGGTGTGTGTATGCGGTGCTGTTGGCTCCATGAGGGGCTGCTACTGGGAATGCTATACCACTAATGAAGGCTGAATTTGCCCATATGATGGATCTTTGTCTTGTCTGATGTTCTGAGACATTCTGGAATGTCTTATAATCTTTCTTTTCTCTCTTGCAAAATAGACAAATATTGGACAATCGGTATGGGTTGAAGCGGTGGCAAATTGGGGAAATTGCTTCCAAGATTGGGCAGCTCTATTACCATTATTAGTAAGTAAGCATGCACAGAAAAGGTTTCAGTAGGGCAATGTAGTGTTCATGGCAGTTCCTTGGCAAACACTTGGATACTCAGCCAGGAGCAGTCAATGTATCTGTCGAGTCATGGTCGCTGTTTCTAAACGAGAAGGCCCTTGGGACGCATGGGGGTGCTGCAGAGAGTGGCACCTTTAAGTCTAGTCATACTGATACTTCCAAAGGCCTTGTCTCCTATCTCAGAAGTGTCTCTAAGTCTCCCATGCATACTGCATTTTACCCTTATACAAAAGTGTGATTTACAAGTCTGGGAGCTTAACCTTCCTTTAAACTTTTTAATTAACCTGTCACCTGTGTATACGGGTACAAGATAGGCAGATCTGATTGTTATCTGATGTGGAATCCAAGCTCTGAAACCTCTCTTCCCAGCAGGCACAAAGGATGAGAGTCTGGCTTTCATATGATGTCACTTAAGAGGGAGTTTTGCTATTGATGCACAAGAAGGGTGGATTTGGTGTGGATTTCCTTCTGAAGCAGTGAGCTAATCTGATTCTTCCTCTGCAGCTTGCGCACGTCAGAAACCAGCTATCTCAATGAAGCTTTCTCCTTCTATTCAGCAATTAGGCAGAGGTCATACTACTCCCAAGTCAACAAAGAAGACAGGTAAGCCTGAATGAATGCCTTTGTTTTTTCAAGACTAGAATGGTGTGTGAAACAGGAAATAACTAAACTGTGAGAGTATAACTGGAGTAAAATCAGTGTTGTTGAAGGAAGTTTCTTTTAATCTCCTGCCATGATTAAAAAACCTCAGTAGAAAAAGAGCTTTGCTGGATGATTGGAGGAATAGTCTGGTATCTGGTCCTGGCTAGAAAGCTGTTAGCCCCGAAGTGTTGTCATTTTGGATCCTGAACAGTGTCAGTGCTGGGACGTAGCATGCTGTGGCTGGAAGATAGGTCAGTTGTGCTGTAACAGAGGAACCGTCTTGATTCTAATCAGGCTTTTCAGGGGAACATCAGTTAGTACTGCAGTACAATAGCCCTCTGTAACTGACTGGGAGAAAGTCCAAGAGCTTCAGGAGGCGTAACATCTTCCTTTTAAGATGCTATACTGAGAAAGGTACACTTGAGTGTACAAAAATGTGCTGCCTGCCAAGAACACAGACAGATATAAATAAGAACAGGTAGAGAACTCAGTTCTAGATCCTGATCTTACATTTTAGCCAGTAAACCTGAGTTCCCTCATTAAAGAAGAAATGATCTGAGGTCATCATGGAAGATAAATACAGAAGGTTAGTTAAGGAGCTTCTTACCAAGGATTCAAGGATCTCTGGACTTCAGCTAATTGCACGTCTTTAGTCTTGCTTATGTCTAAACACACTTGTGTGCCACAGAAAGATGAAAGTTTCCCTGCTCTGTTCTGATACCTGTTGATCCTATTATCTCTTAAAAATCTCTCAGTTTCAGTCTGAGTGCTTGAGTTGTTTCAGTCAAGGTAGGATTGACCAAACATGTTTCTAGATGCTGTCAGAAGGTTTTAGAAATGGATGAGTAATTATGGGCTGTGCTGACTTGCAGATCTCTTAAGTTGTCGCATGTGGGTGAACTGAGCCAGCTGTGATTATCATGTGGTGCACTGGGGTCAGATAGTGCCCGTGAACTGACAAAAGGTTTGAAGAGCCAGCGGTTATATCTGACTCCCATGCCTGTTCTCATGTAAGGAGACTGTGGGAAAGGGGGAGGCTGTGGCTTTCTTGGTGTATGTTTTATGTCCCTGTACTCAATTTTAAGTAAACCTCTTAGTAGCCAGGTAGCTATTGATCTTCACATGAATTCAGTTAGAACTCTTAGTCTGCAGAGTGTTCAGCCTTGCTCTGGTCTTAAACTCTTCCTCTTCCTTACCCCTGCTGCTTACCTGTGTTCTCTTTTAATCTCAAATTTGGCTGTGGTGTTTTTGTTGTTGTGTTTAGGCCTGAATTAGTGGTTAAGAAGCTGCGTTACTATGCAAGGTTTATAGTGGTTTGTCTCTTGCTCAACAAAATGGATGTTGTAAAGGACCTTGTAAAGGTATGTTAAAATGAGGATAAAAGTGCTAAGGGGGGGTGGTTGATGGCTCTTCTTGTTATTAAGGAATCCATAATATAGTCTGTTTCAGTTGAAATATCACTCATTAGATATATGATAATAGCTGCTGTTGCAGTGTAGCTTTTCTGTTTTTTTCTCCTCGTTTAATGGATTGTGCTGTTGGATGCCACAGAAGGAAGGAATAACATGGCTAGAGCTATGGAAAGATTCAGTATGATGTCACCATTTGGCTAGAGAAAAGATTTACAAATGTATATATTAGGAATAAATTGTAAAATGCATGTTATTAATCTGAGAATGTGGGGATCATCTGATAACTCTGAGTACATCTTAATTCCTGTAGGGGATTTAAGACGCTGGTGAAATCTTCCCCAGCAAGTCTCCGTGTCACAGTTACTTGGAAAGCCAGCATCTCTTAGCTTGATGTTGTGCTCATTTCTCTTCCCTTCCAAACTGATCTCTCAGTCCTATGTCTAGAACACATCCTGAATACATTTTACACCTTCCAGAGACCCACCAAAATTAAACTTTGCCAAATGATGTAGGTAATGCTGTGAAATTGGAGAGGCTGGATCTGCATATGCCTCTGCTATGGGAGTAAAGCTCTGAATGCCGACAAACACAAGTCTTTAGGTGCAACAAATAGAGTGCAAGCTAAAGCTGATCACTGCTTTTCTAGTATATGTGGCATCCAACATAGCGATTCTGTGAATCAGACATTTAATAATGACACTTCAAGCTCAGATGATTTGATAGCATTGTTTGAAAACCAAGTAAATATGTTCCAATAGATGCAGGCTAAATAGGGAGATACCCTTTAATGACAACAAATGAACCCCAGCCTCTTCCCAGTACAAGCTGGTGTCTGGAGCTGAAAGCCTCTGAGCCTGAGGATGGCAGGCGGTGTGCTCATGTTTGGTGTAGTGTTAGATGGTCCTGCGAAGAGCCAGGGAGTTGGACTTGTTAATCCTTATGGGTCCCTTCCAACTTGCGATCTGTAATGCTTCTCCTGACAGCATATGCTTCCCAAACCTCCCTAACAACCTTGCTGCAAGCAGCTTCTGGTATTGACAGTTTTGTGTAGGTTGCATTGCTGTCTTGGTGTCTAAGCTTACTTGAACTGCTAGCTTAGCTTAGCAGCAGCTAAAAAAGCCATACCATTCACTTTCTCAGTGTATTTAAAGTTACTTGTAAGCTGAAATTCGAGTCCTTGGTATCTGTAGCTTATGGTAATAACCAGTGACATAGCTGTATGTGAGTGGGATAGTTATATTTGCATTTGGACCTACTTAAAAGACACTTTGCATTGCCAAAACTCAGTGTAACATTGTCATTCTGTCTCCTAAAGAGCGCGTTTTGGCTGGCATGTTAGTCATAAATGTGCTGCATATGTTCTCAAGTAATTACTTTTTTCTTTATTAAAGGCCAGCACAGCTAACCAAATTGTAGTTACTGACTGCCTGTTAAGCTCTGGGTTTGAGAAATGACTGTGATTCTTTGAACTTTTTTACATCAGGAGCTGTCAGATGAAATTGAAGACTACACTCATCGCTTTAATACTGAAGATCAGGTGGAGTGGAACCTGGTTCTTCAGGAAGTGGCAGCATTTATTGAGGTTAGAATACCGTTCCCTTTTAGTTGTTAGCTTAAAACTGAAATCTGCTGGCTTGCTCACCATAGTGTTCCTGTGTCACCACCTCTGTGTGGTAAGCAGATGTGCCACGTGCAGGGGCAGTATTCCTCTCCAATTTAATCATGGAGATGTACTGGAAGAGTGACAGATGTCAAAGTGAAGAATCAGACCTGGTCATGTAAGGTACTGAAGGCAGAACCGTGAAGCTGAGAAGCACTTGGTCACTTTATTGTTTTTGCTCTTGGTGTTCAGATCATGGTGGAATTGAAAGCACAGCAGTTATCATGGCCAGTACTTCAGAGAGGCTGCCAGCTCTGGTTCTGTTGTTGTGGAAGCCAGTCCAACCTGTTGATGTTTTGATTGTGTTTCAAAGTGTACTTTGTTGGAGTACTGGTCTGTTGTGCTGGTAAATCATAAGCAGTATATAGTGGAAAATAGGGTGTAAGCATGGCATTTAACTGATAGGCTCTTAGCATAGTTGTAATGTGACCAACTTCTAAAGTTTATTAAAAGGAAAATATCTTTTTTATTCTGTTCAATGAGACAGTGTTCTACTTCCCTCCTTTTGTACCAGATGTCACTGTGTAATATGAGGATTTGTTTAAATATTGCCAGAGTGGATGGCAGCATTACCATTTGCTCATCTCCTTTGCTATTTATTTCTAGGAAGGGAAGGCAAACTAAAATAGTGCAGGGTCCTTCTGTATTAGGAATGTTTTGTTTGCTCCGTGTGAATTTGTGAGGCTGTTGGTGACATTTGGTTCCTCGGGTATGGAAAAGCTGAAGCAGAATTTGTGTCATTTGGGGAAGTATGTTTTTCTCTTTGCTGTACCTTCATGTGCTTGTGCCATGTATTTGCTTGCAGTCCCTTAGAGCTGTTGCTTTTCCAGGTGGTAAGGCATTGCTCTATTACCTGCATATAAGTATATGTATGGTAAATTAAATTTAAAGGTCTGCCTCAGTTATGAAACATTTACTGTAAGTGACGAGCCCTTTGGACTTCTCTCTGACTGCAAATCTGGACGTTTTCTTGAATTCCTGATTTATTCTGGTTGCTTTTTTTAGGCAGACCCTGTCATGGTTTTAAATGATGACAACACCATTGTAATCACCTCTAACAGGCTTTCTGAAACAGGAGCTCCGTTGCTAGAGCAGGGAATGATAGTGGGACAGCTTGCTCTTGCGGATGCGCTCATTATTGGGAACTGCAACAACCAGGTAAAAGAAATTCTGGGGGCTTGGGTTTGTATCTCTGGAGTTCAGAATCCTTTCACATGTGAAACCCATTCTGATCATACAACAGAGATGCCAAGAGGGGCAAACATGAGAATATTTTGATTGTGATGTGTGCAGTGACACCAAGAAGAAGAGGTTCTCAAAAAGAAGAGTTAAAAATTGAATATTAATTATTAAACCTGTGGTACTGACCTCCTATTGCTTATATTAATCAGATTAATTAAAGTAGATACTACTGATTTTCGCACACTGGATGTTTCTTAATAACATTCAAACACAAGAGGCCTCTGGCATGTGTCTAGAAAAAGCCTTAGACTTTCATATGGCATACTCCAGCCTGTTGCAACTCCAGTCGCAACAGGAAGCTGCTTTCAAAAGACGTTCAAGATCTTGCTTTTGAGATTATGACAGTGAAGTTGTACAGATTTCATGACCTCTCCCTGAGGTCTTTTTTCAGGTAAGCAAGGGAGTTGTATCTCAACTACAGTTTGTGTATCTTTTGCAGATTTTGTCTAAATTCATAGTACATAGTGGTTTCAGCACTTGATCTGGAAATACCCCAGAAAAGTCTGTAATTTGCAAAGTTGAGGGGTCTGCACACAAGTAAACTGTCCTGGTAGACCAGTAATAGATAGCCTTTGTCTTCTGTGAGCTCTTCTAAAAGTCATTCACGGGTGTTTAGAGAGTCAAAAATGACACTAACAGATCCCTGAGAGACATAAATGGTCTGTCTGGTGTGCAGTTTGATCTCTTACCTGGATAATTCCAAAGAAATGATGTTTAATCTGTATCTGGCAGAATAAACTGTTTGACTCTTTTGCAGGTCAAGTTCAGTGAATTAACAATTGATATGTTCCGAATGCTACAAGCACTTGAAAGGGAACCAATGAATTTAGCATCACAAATGAACAAACCTGGAATGCAGGTTAGTTCCATTTCAGTGATGAACCTGGACCTGAACTGGCCTTTTTTTGTTTGCTTATTTATTTATTTAGTTTGTTTATTATAACAAATAGAAATATAGAGGGTTATGAAACTCCTTTGTAATATATGGCTGTTGGGTTCTTTGTCTCGTTTGCTGTTTCTAACAGGAATCAACGGAGAAACCAGCCAGGCGGGAAAACCCCCATAAATATCTACTTTATAAACCAACTTTCAGCCAGCTGTATACATTTTTAGCAGCATCATTTAAGGTTTGTGAAATCAGTGAATTTATTTGTAATAGAAAAATATCCAGAATGGTATGTGACGCTGAATAAAATGTGGCTGAGATAATCCTTTATACTTCAGGATAATGAAGCCTTCTTAAAATGTTCAATATGTTCTTCAGAGGGGTTGGAAATATTATAGATCTGTGTAATTTGTATAATAAAGACAAATCCATTGACTGCTGTGAAGCGAGAGGGAAAAAGATCATTTTACAACAGAAACCCAGCTTGCTGTTACACAGCAGTTGTATCATAGCTACAATACAGCCACCTTCAAAGTGAAGCCTGAATAACAGCTCTGCAAGCAGCTTTAGTAGTGGTTATCCAGGATCCAACATTGTGCATGGCAGTACTATGGAAAGCCTTAAGTAGTGTGATGTAATGTAATAGTTGCATATGATTGTATGTTATCCAGTAATTTTATCTGTGTGTGTCTGGAGGTACACACACATATATAAAGACATTTATAGATACAGACATACATGTAAAAAAAAAAGTGTTTCCTATATATATTATATAGGAAATATTTATTGAGTTAAGAGATTTGGAGAACAGAAGAATCTTAAGAACATTCTCCTACTTCATGTTGTGCCAAGCAATCCAAAATCAGGGAAGTATGCCAAGAAACTGATGCTCTTAAGCACTGTGTACCTGGTAGGTCTCAGTTCTGTATCCCATTCAAATTATATCTCTCTCCTGCATATGTTATATTTTTATCTGCATGTCTTTGTTACCCATTACTCTCTTCCGTATAAATAATCTATACATTTGTAGACTTTAATACAGTTACTTTGGTTATTTAAGTTCAGTAAAGTTGCTGGGCTCATTATGCTTAATTATGACTGTACAATTGGGATTTAGTAGTAAAAAGAGCACATGAATCCATATAAAGAAGCAAGTTTTAGTCTGTTTCAGGAAACAACTGTAAAGAAACAGCTGGTGAGGTGATGGAAGTGTTTCCTCTTCATACTTAGGAGTTTGGGTGCCTGCTTGCTCAGCCTTTTGCAGAAATTAAAAGCATCTGTTTCCTCATGGAGGCAGCCCATTAGAAAGGTGGAAAGTAGGTTTCTTTTACAGGTCTGTCCAGAAACCTGGATGTGTTGTGCTTGTTATCCAGATGAGAAGGGTCTGGGGAAGAGGCAGATGTTGCAGACTCTGGGGTATTTGGAAACAAAGAACTTCCTTTAGGACCCTGAGTTGCTTGACAGTTAGGGTCTGCATGGATTGTGGCAGCTTTTGCTTTCCGTATCTTGGAAAGCTATCAGATCTGGCTAGGTAGCAAAAGTCTGTGTGAAAGCAGATGCTTTTTTTAGTGCTGCTTGAGCCTCTAATATCAGCCTAGAGGTCTTGGCGAAAAAAGGTATGACTATATCATCAGTTCACATTTTTGTCTGTGCATTCACCTATTTGAAGGTATGTGTGTGTGGCAGGGAAGGGTTTATGCACATTTAAAGAACAGTGTGAAGGGAAGCCAGAAGCAGGAGTAGCCTGATCTTAAATGACAATGTATTTATGAAAGTGATGATCAAATATTAAAATAAACTTACACATTTCTTCCCTTGCCACTCCTCTCTTTCTCTGAATTTCAGGAGCTGCCTGCAAACAGTGTTCTGCTGATTTACTTGTCGGCCACGGGCGTGTTTCCATCAGGTCGTTCGGATAGTGAAGGTACAATAAAGGAATGCTCCCTGTCATGAACAGGGCTTGAATTCTCTTTATGTTCCAGGACAAGTGACCAAGAAAGATGTCACAAAGCTCCTTTTAAAAGACGAGTCAATTTTACTCTCCTGTCTACTTAGTAAGATAGTCTTTTTATTCCACAAACAATAGTTCCCTGTGTTTTAATTAGTGTGCATTAACCTGAAACCTTTCAAAGGACATACCCAGTTTTTGATGCATCTGAAGTATTAAAAGCTTCACCAGTTTTGAAGACCACATGGCTCAGTTGATGCATCAGTGCAAAGTTAATAAAATGTGATTCTTTCCAATCTCCAGTACTGTAAGAACACATGGGCAGGAGATGGGTGGTAAAAGGGCTAAAGCATCTGCAGGGACTGTTCTATTTGCACGCTTCTTAACCTGACAATTCAAGCCCTTCTCATGATTTCTGACAATTCCCCTCACTTCATCCTCCTGTTCTTTGCAACCTAGCAGAATATTTGGATGCAGCTGCAATCTAAAAGCTGAAAACTGGTCGGCTGATCAAACACAGTCAAAAGATCTATTCTATAATTAAGGAGGAAAAAAACATCCTAAATATTGTACACACCTCATCTATTTGAGACTTGCATTCCTTTATAAGATGCATGCCTTGTCCATCCCAGTGCATGATTTATAGAGCTCTCAAAATGTTGAAAGACAAAAAAAATCCCTGTCAGCTCTGGATTGTGGCAGTGATTTTTTTTAAGTGCTTTCAATATTTTACTTTTTGCTGCAACTTGGTGCTAGGCTTTAACTAAACGGTGTTCTTTAAAGCCTGTGGTATGTCCCCTTCACTGCATGTTTTGTTTCAGCTTACTGTAGAGGCATCCAGGCTCTGTCATCTGAAGAGCTGCATACTCACACTTCACTTTTCATTCAGTGAATCCCATTACAACTGCATTCTTTTAATAAGGTAGTGTAGCCTGCACAGACCAAAAAGTTCTACCTTATTAAAAGGGAGAGCAGCTGCAAGTTGCACCATTTACTGCCTGTAAGCCATTTGTGTTTGACAGATCACATTTGTAACAGTGCTGAATTAATGTATGTTCTGTTCCTGATTTTGTGTTCCCAAAGCTTCCCTTAAATGGAAAGGTGTCTTACGTATCCAAACCTGAAAATAGTGCATTTGGTGGCCACACAAGGGTCAACCAACTCTGCAAATGTGTAACAGAAGGAAGAAATCCTAATGCTTTATTTTACTAATGTTAGTGGCACTTCATACCCATAGCAATGACTGAAGTATTTTCTGGTATCTCTAGCACCTTTTCTTTCTTGATAGGATTTTATATTGTTTATAGCCATTACTTCCGTCCTTGCTCTCCACCAGACAGTTAGTGGGTAGCTCAGTTGTGCAAACTTAGCAGAGCATTTCTTTAGCTTACCCCTGAAAGCTTATTCATCCTCTGAGCTCTCTTATCCCCTTTGCAGTGTTGTAACTGCAGATGATAGTATTATATCTGTTCTGAGAGGCTGCAGGGGGGGTTTATTGACTTAGCCTCATTTTTGATGAGATTCTGAATCTAGAATATGCTAGCTCATACAGTAGTTTTACAAAGGTATTGATTTTCCCATATGAAATGTGTAATGGGTTTTAATCTGTTCTGCTGTGTAGTGCAACAAGAGCCAATATTTGGATCTTTTGTACTATGTTTACGGATAAATAGCAGATAAATAAATTAGAGGTCATGAAGTTGCATTGCTTGCTTCTCTTTGGTAGCTGCTGAAACTACTAAAAAAGTATAAAACTGAACCTGTAGTTAGTAAAGTCTCCACATTCCTTCATCTCCTTACAACTGCAGTAGTTCCGATTCACTTAGTTTTCTGGGATTTGTGGTTGCTTCCTGCCTTTTGTGTAATTGTTAAATCCATGGCAGAGATGAGTTGCCTGTGCTAATTGAAGCTTTCTTTTTTGCCATGTGTAGGTCCATATGATTTTGGTGGTGTTCTGACAAATAGCAACCGGGACATTATAAATGGGGATGCTATCCACAAGCGAAACCAATCTTACAAGGAGATGCACTGGTAAGTCTCATGTGTGTGGCAATGGCAAATCAGAAGAGTTTGTCTTTAATAGAGAAAAAAGCTTCAGACCCTCTTGAACTCAAATTCTTCAGTGTAAGACATCATAATGTAGATTGGCTTGAAGTTAAACAATTAGAAATTAATATCCAACTCTAAATGATGATTTAAGCACTCAGAAAGTATTACTGTGACAATACAGACTCTTTATTACTGGAGAACTTCAAATTCATGGTCCGTGGCTTCTCAAGAAGATAAAACATCTCTTGTTGGGAAAGGACTAGTAAGAAGTCCAACAGCCCATGCTACAGAGAACACCAAAATAGTTTTGCAGTTACTCTCTGAGGATGTATCTGAGGCCTGGGGCATGGGGAATTTGCTTGCTTTGTATCTGGACATGGGCAGCTGCGTGTCTAAGAACCTTGTGCAGTGTCACAGCTCTGCAGCAATTCTAGTGCTCTGTGAAGCATCACTTTCTTTTTCCAGTCTTCACCCTGGAGATCTCTACCCTTTCACAAGAAAGCCCCTGTTTATCATTGTGGACTCTTCAAACAGTGTCGCCTATAAGGTAAGGCTCTTGAAGGCAGGTACTGGTCTGACAGGATACAGTGTCAACCCCTAGTTAGCTTACACTTTTAACAGGCTATTTTTTTAAACAGTTTATATTCAGTCTTTCTTTTCTTTTGAGGTTGTGCATGCTAGTCAGGATCTGATCCTATGAATAGGAACAAGAAGGAGAAGCACATGAACAGCCGCTCATTGGAAAGTAATAAATCCTCCTGGAGGGAAAAAAGGTTCAAGATTTCCAAGGTCTCTGGTGGGAGGTTTATTTTTGTTATATACCAAAGACAAATCTTGGTGTGTGTGCGTGGGGGAGGGAGATAACTAATATGCTTTTCTTTTTTCCAGTCATCCAACACTCAGTTGCTTTTAAGGAACAGAAAGGAGTCAAAGCATTGAGCCCGATCTTATAAAGCTCAGGGTGTCGGTGTCTGAAAAGTATCTGAACCAAGGAAATAACAAGACTCAAATTAACATCCAGTCTTATTGTAGAGTGGTACATACTTGGACATTGAGCTTGCTTCCTAGAGTGCTATGGACTTAGAAGTAGAATTAGTCCATGCCAAATCACCTTTGGGAATCTGCAATTTGGGTAATACAGAAGCTGGCATTTTCAGTCTCAGTTGCCAGTTGAATCTGGATAACATTTCAACATTTATTTCATTTGTGAATGGGATGTTAAGAGTGTGCTATATCTGGGGAAAGTGCCACTTCCTTCTGTCTCCCTTTTTATAGCTCCATTATGTGCAGTGAGAAAAGTGAACGTTCACAGCTGAATTTCAGAGGAGGACTAGGGACGTCTAGTGGCCAGATGAACTTGGTCCTTGTTCAGTTTCCAGAGTCTGTGTTATTTGTTTTAAAGGCACTTGTTGGCCAACGAGAGGTGCCAAATCTGTGATTAGGATGATTCAGGATAATGCTGTATTGAGCCAGGGAACTTTTACCTGACAGTCTTAAAAATGATCTGGCCTCTCTATAGGGTTTTTGGTTTGTTGTACTATAATGCATGTCAAAGAGCTTTTAAAATACTACTGCACTTAACTTCACCACACTAGATTTTGGTGCAGATCTGCTTTTTATTAAATCCATGTCCCTGCTTAAAGGGAGGCAAATACAATTGGAGTGATTTACTTGTCTTTCTGAGAAAATAAGGATTTGGTAGCAATTTATTTTCCTTGTTCTGCAGTGAACTGACCATCAGGAGAATGTGAAGTACATAGAAAGTGAAGCACGCCAGTGCTCTAGCTGTTAAGCACACTGAGCAGCTGGTGTGAGAGGAGTCCAAACCTGCCTGTCTGTAAGGAGTATAGAAATGTGAATTCTGGAAGTATTTCAGAACAGGATTATGGAAGTGGCTGCTAGGAGCTCTGACCCAGATCAGAATCATGTGGGCCCAACTGTGAAGAATCTAAAACGAGAATGAACAGGGGGAAGAAACGCAGGAGCATGGGCCCCTATTAAAAAGATCTGTTCAGCATTTGAGAGCTCACATTCACCTTCACAGTCTATTGCTGCTGAACCCAGGCAGATAGATGTGTGGGGCTGGGTTTAGGTGTTTTGTTTTCAGCTGAAGGTAGATGGCAGAGCTCTCAATCTCAGTGTTTTCTAGTCCTCGTAAACTGTCTGTCATCATTCTGTGCGTGCTTATGTGCTTGGTTCCTTGTCACCAGAATATACTGATAGTGTTGTCCTGTGACTATCTTCTGGGTGTGCTGTGAGAGGCTTTGGAGACTCAAACAGTGGCACAGACAGAGGTTCTGTGCAACAGTGTGAGAAGGTGAAGTCATTGCATTTACCGACTTTTTTCCACATGGCTGCTCTGATCTGTTCCGATAGGACAGTAACTATCCTGACATTTAAATGTCACCGCTAGCAGTACTGGCAGGAACAGCAACTGCTCACACATCCTTTTCCACAGCCCATTTCTGCTCTCCTGCATGCATTCTCATCCTCTCCCTCTCTCTGGAGGGCTTAAATGGTGAAGAGTGAAAGTAAGTCCTGCCAGGAAGTGACTTGCCAGTTTGTCAAATCAGCGGCACTTGAACAGCTTCCTCCCCTATATATTTAGCTGAAAGTGGAAGATTACTGCAAATCCAGCATATCTACTTAAAGCCCTGATTTTTTTTTTAACACTTCCATTTAAATATAGATGGGATATGGCTGTGTTCTTGAAAGCTACCACTGTGTATGTGGGTGAAATAATATTTTTAAATCAATATCTTCCTGTAGCTGTGTCTGTCTATGATTATGGTCAAAAGCAGAGTCTTTAAACATCTAAACCAAGGCAAAAACTCTAGCCAGTAAGAATGCAAGGCCTTTGTCAGTGGTGTGGTGTAAATGCTCAGCTTAGTAAAGCTTGCATGTGAAGTGACTTCTTCCGGAGCTGATGGGTAGTTCTTTTTTGGAAAGAGATGTACATGAAATGCACTTTAGAAAGCAGAAATGCTTCTGTTGTCTTGAGGGCTGAAGTAAAACAGAGTTGATTTTGAAATACAAGTGTGTTTTACCCTTTTTGGAGTTGTCCATGCACTGAAAGGTCCTTACCTAGAGCTCTTCCCAACATCTAGGATGCAGGGCCGGTTTTTCTGGTGTACCCTGTTGTCCTCTGCCCCAAGCCATGGCTGTCTTTGTTGCATGTGTGCCCACAGTGTTTTCTGTGGAAACCAGGAGCAGAGGAGGGGATGGTGAGTGAATCCTGCTGTTTGCTTGGGCTGTGGTAGGCAGCTGTGTGGGCAGGAGCTGACACAGGAACCTGGGAGCTTGAGAGCTTTATTCTCCAGGGTCTATAATTTAGATGTAGCGACTGGCATGAGCAGTTGTCTTCCAAAGAGCACAGTCTGTGTTTAAACTGTGTAGTTTCTCCCCTTTGCAGGACTTGCTAGCTATGTTGACTTACCTCTGCAGACTCCAGAATGATCTCAGATACTGTCAGTGAGTAATACCTTTCCTGACATACATGAGTGACCCTTGGTTTTGCTTTATAGCTATAGACAGGGTGTAATTGCATTGTCGTTTTTACTGATGCAAAGTCTGCTTTGGTCTCTAACTGGGTGATACGAGGCAGGATTAAACATGTGCATCTGCTCATGAATACTAAGCATCCATGTAACCTGCCAGTATTCAGTGTATTCAGTTCAAGCTGGCACTGCCTGGGGTGACTCCTAGGGTGTTTTGCTGTAGCACAGTTTTACTAATTACAGGGCTGCCCTGCAGTTACTGTCTTCATGGTAATAGTCTTTTTTTCTTCATTAGATATAAACCTTAGTATCTAGCATTACAGATCTCCCTTGGGCCCTTAATGAAAAAGAAGGGGGTTTAGGACTAGTCAGCACTCTGTCAGGTATAGGAAATGTTTTGATTAGAGTAGGTTACTGTCTTTAGTAGTTAGCAGGCTTAGTTTCAGTGAATGAATTTAATCTAATTTAATTGCAATACACTGCCTGGATGGGAAAGTTCCATTTGAATTAAGCAGAAGCCAGAAGGAATAAAAAAGTTAGCTTTTTAATGACTCTACACAAGCAAATAGTTCTGGTGATATACACCTTGCATTTACAACTTGCCAGTTGTAAGACTATAATCTGAGACGTGTGCTCTCTTATGCGCTCTGGATGCATGGTTTGCATGTGTGCTCTAGCAGGGTGTGAACATGATCATTTACATTTGCTATGGCTTTGCAAGCCTTCAGTTTTAGGAAAGGTGTTTTGGTGAGAGACATAATGACAGCTGATGAGGTTGTGTAAGTGAATGTCTTGTTTTCTTGGTGGTAATTACTACCAATCAGGATACCTACCAGACAGATACACAGTAGGACTGTATCAGGTCAGCGTATGTGAAACTGGCCAACGGTATCTTTGAGGTTTATGGAGAAAGTCTTGTGCAGTGTTTAAGGTGCTGGTGGAAGGTGCATGAAATGAGTACGGTGAAATGAGGGTTCAGTAGAGCAGATGTTAAGGTTATGACATGCTTGCTTTAAAGGAAATTTATTATAAAACATTTCTCCACTGGGCTCTTGTGTTTCATCAGACACAGTTCCTCCCTGCTAGAAAGAAAAGGGGAAAGAAATGACTGTGGATAGTTCCATTAGTATTGAGGAAATATGCTAGATGTGGTTTGACCTGAAAGCCAGCGGCTTTCACTTCTAATGCAGAACATGATTTATTTTTCTTTCTTTTCCAAGTAATATTACTATGGAAAGCCATATTTCCATGAAATTAGTGTCTGCTCTCAGTGGCAGTGAAATGAGAGAACTGCAGTTCCTTCAAGATGTAATGGGTTATATTCTTCCTGTGGTGTGATTTATGAGTAAGTCAAGTTAACCTTACTGCTGATACTGAGATGTGTGACGGGCATTAGTGTCTTCTCTGTCATTAATAGTCTTTGTTTGTACCCTTAACGTGCTGAATACTCAGAAGAAAAGTGACCATCAATACTTCAAAATTCTTATCTGTTACAGAATTTCACCAACCTGTTCGGACAACCATTGGTGTGCTTGCTTTCTCCAACAGCGTATCCAAAAGCACTACAAGGTATGTGCAGTATTGCGTTTCGTAACAATTCGCATCATATATCTATCCCAAACAAATATAACTTAGATTCTTCAGGAAAAGATAGCTTTTCACCACTATGTAATCCCTAGATCACATTAATGTTCCCTGAAGTAGTATGATAAAGTTTAGCTACTGTTTATGGTAAATAATTCATCCTGACAATGATATTTCTACGGATGGTTTCAACAAGTGCTGGGAGACAAAGTCTCCTCTACATGGAGACTTAGAAAATTGCCAGCCAGTGCTGGGGTGATTATCATGGTTATTAGCACTTTGGGTAGCTGTTAGTCCCAGAAGGTGAGCAAAGTCAGTGGCTTTGTATGCCCTGAGAAGGTGCATTTACAGTAGGAACAGGCAATGAAACATTATATGCTTAAGTCTTTGTGACTACTATAAAACAGAAATCATTCGAGACTTTCTAATTGGAATTCATTGTGTTAAGGTTATTATCCATCACAAAGACAAGTACAAAGGCCTAGCCTCTTTCAGCCAGCATCATGAGAGAACATGCAAGAAGTAGAAGCTTCTCATTTGTTTTGAAACGATTCCTGTTATTTGGCTGAAGCTTAAGTAGAAAATAAGCACTCTAGTAATGAAATAATCCCAAACACACCAACTTGAAACCATACCCAAGTCCTGAAAAAAGATGCACCAAAACAACTCAGTAATCCTTGCTGAGGTGGAGGTGGCCTTTCTGTTCGGGCACGTGCTCTTGTGTACATTGCCTTTTTGACTTTCTGGTTGATTGAGATGAAGCTTGGACCCCTGTGTAGCATGTTGAAGTGCATGAAGTAAATGAGCTTCAGGGTACTGTGATGCCCAACAAAAGGGCAAGTATGTCAGCTGTGGAGGGTGTCTATAGGTTCAACTGCCTGTAGTTTTGAATGGAATAAGAATGCCTATGTCTAATAACTTCTCTCTAGGGTTTATAGTCGGTATTTTCTATCAGTTGTTTCAATTATTGTATTTAAGCTGTGTGCTCAAACTGAACACACAGGCCTCCCACAATTCACAAGAAAAAGCTCATTTCTCTTGGTGTGAGAGCATCTCTCCAGTAAGCCTTTATTGCCAGTCACTGCATCATCTTGACAGCAGATCTACCACAAGAGGGGAGAAGGTGTAGATAACACAGAGGCATAGCTCCTCTGTTACAGCATTTAGTGGGTGAGCGACTTCATTCTGTGGCAGGGACAGCTTTCCTGTTTCATGTGCCAAATGCATCTCTTTGTCTATTGATTTACTTTATTTCTTTTAGATCAGTCCCAGCGGGGCAGCCTCTTCACACTCTTTCTGAACAATCCTTTAATGGCATTCCTGTTTGTCTCTGGATTATCAAGCATGCGCAGAGGACTGTGGGAGAAGTGTCAAGATTACCTTAGGAAAATCAACAGAGATATTGCCCAGCTGCTGACCCACTCCCGATCCATAGGTATGTACTGCTTAAGCACATGCTGGTTTTCCTTGCTCTGCTTTTCCAAGGGACAGAATAGGGAATAAGGGGAACACACGTGAATTTGTAGTGGTTTCCCATAAATCTCTCTCTGTTCTTTTTTTTTTTTAATTTTTCTTTTTTGAATTCATTTTTTTAAGCATTTCTAAGTTGATTTTTTTTAAATTTGTCTTCTCTACAGATCAGTCCTTTCTTCAGTTTTTTGGGGATGAATTTCTTCGCTTGCTTCTAACAAGATTTATCTTCTGTTCGGCTACTATGAGGATGCACAAAATTTTCCGGGTATGCAGGGATATCTGTCCCTTTGACAACCACAATCCAGTGCATGTAGAACCGCACTGCCTCAGGATGGAAGGGTCTTAGGGCTAAGCAGATCACTGTGACATCAGAAGTATAACTGATGCCCACATACCTATGCCTACAGCTTGTGTTGAATCTGTGCTTTTGTATCTCTCCAAAGGCACAAAGCCTTTGACTTGCTGAAGTCCTGCTCCTCTACAGAAGTAGCGGGCACATTCTGATTCGTTTATGTCACTCTGACCAGCTTTATGTTCCTCTTAATAATTCAAGATTATTTCTACACAACTAAAAATGTGTAGAACAGGAACATAAGAGGAAGTGGAGTGGAATGTTATTGCTTGAATGTTTTCTAGTGTGAATGGATTTAGAAAGGTCTTTGAAGTGTAAATAAATAAGCTAAGCAGGAAGATGGTATTTCCCCTCCGTGTTGGTTAATGCTGTGCCAACAGTGAAGGCTGCTTCTGGATCTACACTATTTTATATATGAGTGTTGGCACATAAACTGCCTGCTCCATTTTAAACACTACAGAAAAGAAATGGAAGTTGAAGCACAGAAAGGTACAGTATTCATCTTGTCTAACTGCAGACATCTAGTAGCTTTCCAAACCTAAGGTAGCTACCTGGACTTTGATACAGGGAAAAGAAGCAGCTCTTCTGATAATGGAGATAGATTTGCCCCCAGTGTCTTGGATATTTGGTTTAGGATGAGATGAATCTCCCACTGGAGCTTCATTTAGATGTCTATAATTTCAAGAAATAAACTCCAGTCTAGGAGGTAAGTATATGTGAAGTCGTTTTGTCTTTTGTGGTGTTTTCTTCCTTGCAAGGCTTCTGTGAACATATTATTAACCATCTTAGAGGAATGGTCATTTGAATTGCCACTATGACACCTCTGAGTCAATGGAAAGGGAAAACTGGGAATGCTGGAGTCTTTTCTCTCTATCTGGCATGCTAAACATGGCTTGAATGTCTGACTCTCTTTGTTTTCACTGTCATCTAGCAGGAGACTCGAAACTACCCAGAATCTTACCCTCAGCTGCCAAGAGATGAAACGGTGGAGAACCCTCACCTCCAAAAGCACATTTTGGAGCTGGCTTCCATACTGGATGTTAGGAATGTTTTCCTGGAAAACACCCTCGATGACTATTAAAAGAAACTGTCTTACTGCAAAGGGGTTTCCCTGGCCACAGATTTTGAATGGTGCAGTTTTATAATGTGAAAATCATAAAAGGAAGTACTTGATTTTATTTTTCAATTTAGGACCATTATTTTAAGGAGTAATAATAGACAGCTGTTAGTTTTAGCTGTTCCATTCTGTATGGGGTCAATTTTATAAGCAGAAGTTTTCATGTCTTTTAAATGTTAAACTAAAGAATCACTAGAGGTTTATTTCTGGTCTTGTGGCTATCAACCACATTTCCAACAGCTGATCCTAAGCATAGAACTATTATTGGTTACCTTTAGGCCACGTTTGTGGAAATCCTTTATTTTTATACAATTTTAAGAAATTGGGAAGAAAAAAATCAATAGAAAACCAATATTTTATCCCCAAAGAGTCTGGATTTGAAATGGTAAAGATGGAACCACGCAGTGCAGACCAACAATAGCAATAAAACGAGTCCTTCATAACAAATATATTTTTTCAGTCTTAGGCAAGTGAGTAGACAAAACTGTGGACAATTAAATTGCATTTGGAGCAGTGGGTTTGCAGTTGTAAAGATACTTAATGCTCCCTATAAATTTGACACAGCAATTTTATATATTAACTTTGTACTCCTGGCCAAGAACACAGTTTCCACTCGGCTTCACTGACAGGTGGTTAGCAGATTAACAGATTACAAACCCAAGAAAGCTAACCCTCATTTCTCACTGTATATGGGTCATCTTGCTATTTGTATTGCTGCCACAGTTTTCCAAGCGGAGGGGCCATTCTTCATTTTGAGGTGTTAGATAGAAATTCTTACATGTCCAGCAGGTGTATCCCTCCTTTCAGTATATGGATGGAATGTGTGGCTCCCTCAGTGTTACCAGCACCTCATAGGAGCTCAAGGAATGTCCCATACGGTGCAAACATGAGCCCTTCCTGTTGCTTGTTTACCTGACCCATTTGTGCTGGATCCCTGTGCCACAGGAAGAGATGCTGATGCTCCTTGTGCAGGTCAAACAAAGTGGGTGCTGCCATAAAGCCCTATTAATGTTTTGCATGCCCGCCCTTGCATCTCAGTCCTGTCTCTGAACCAGACAGAGGGGCTGTAATGATGAGTGGCAGCACTGCAGGCTCCCTCAGCCTCTGATGCTCAGTTTGGGTATGCTCTGTACAGTAGCTGGAGAAGTATGTTTTGACTGCTAGGAAAGTGCTTGCTGACTCATTTGCACTGTGCTGCCTGCCTTGCAGAGCTAGAGGACCTCTTGCAACTCCTGACAGTGAAGGTGTGAGCAAGGAGAAGGAAAGGGAAATATTTTAAACTATTAAATGAAAAAGTCTATTGTCACTGTTCCATGGGCTGCTAGAAGAGAAGTGAAAGGGCAAGCCTGATCAGTGCTTTTCCAGTGGGTAAGTTGAACCCCAGCCATGCTTCTCTTTTTAGGTGGAAAAGTGCAGAATTTGTGGGTAGGCCTGTTTGCAATGCCATAGCACAAGGTACGATCTAGCCAGCAGGAATAGTGAAGGGCACTGGTGGACCCCATTCAGCTGAGGAAAGCACAGTATGGAACAGCAAGAATTGCTGGAGTGTAGCTCGGGAGTTTGCATGAAGGATCTTTGTAGCTGGGCTGAAGCTTTTGTCATCCATTCTTTAATTTCCCAAATGTAAAATACCCTGTGAATGCTCGTGTTAGTTCTAAGCAGTCTCAAAGCTGGTATATTGAGCCCCCACCACTTGGTGCTGCTCTTCTTTGGACTATGGCAGGACTTCATTACCTGGGATGTGGAGTTTATTTTGAAGAGTGTATGTTTGTGTGTGTGCATGTGTGTTCTAGGCGTCTGTGTGTATATGTACAATACTCATACATTTACTGGCTGGTGTAAATTGTAAATATGTATATATGTATAGGTACTTGTATATGTATTAAAAAGAATGAAACACTGCAATGTCTATATACAAAATTTATATATACACACATACGCCACTTTGGGTGTATTCCACAAGGTGTTGCAGATCATTTGTGGTTGTAGTAAAGATTATGGCTCTTCTGCCATTGTAATTTGCTGTTTCCAGGGACTTACTCTTGGACCATAAATTAATTCATAGTTCATTTAGGTACAGGCCTTAGTTACCCAGGGGAATGAGTACTCCTGTATGTATTACAGTGATAAGATTCATGTATTCTTAACTGTGAAGCTGATCTTTCTTCGTGGTAGGAGGTCCCCAGTTACATGGGAATTTATGTAGAAGCTAAAGATACAGAAATCCTTCATTGCAGCAGCGAGAGACAGGTTATCTATTGCCCTGCCTGCTGCTCCATCAGCAGTGATCAGCTTGCATGGAAAAAGGGAATTTAGTTTTCCCCAGCTCACTGCCTTCCAACTAAATGCTTTTGTTTTGCTTTAGCTTTTGCTTTGATGAAGATGTTCTCATTTTGGTTCCAGATATCTGGAACAGAGTATGCTATGTCTATGCATAGGAGTGATGATGGTTCCATTAGTGTTGGCTGATGACCTCTGGGGCATGTTGCTTGTTCACTGACTGGGAGAGCCTTGGCAGACCCAGTCTTCATTTCAGCTGGGCTGAGGAGTCCTTGCTTGTGATCTGAGAGGTTTCTAATCCACTTTTCAGCCCTAATAGGAGGTTCTGTTTGCTTGTTACCAATGTAGATCTAATCAGAGGAGAATGCACTTCTTAAAAAGCAAAAAAAAACACCTGAAGAAGCTGGAATGTAGGAGGAGAATACAAGGCCTTTGAAATTAGTTCAGAAGTCAAACTTACCAGTGATGACTGTCCAAATCAAAACTTTGTTCTTGAGGTCCCTCATTCTCTTCTTACCTACTAACCTTTTGTTCAGAAGGGATGCTGTTGGCAGGGATATTCAAAGACTAAGATTTCACTCCTGTTGTGTCGGTAGGAGTATGAAATTGTGCTTTCTAAGCAAAAAGCTGATACAACCTCTAGCTGTAGATAGGATGAGTATCTGATCTCGGATTTTGAGCCAATCCCCTCCCTTCCCACCCAAAGCAACTGCATTCAAGATGAAAATACTGTTATTTTCCCCTCCAAGTAAAAGCTTGTCTTGTTTCAACTTACTAAGTTGTTCTAAACTTGTGCTACTATGTGCTATGTGCTGTGCTCGTAGGTACCTTCTCAATGTATGCTTATATGTACTGAAGAAAAATTTGGTTTATATATCTAGCAGTCCTCAGTGTGGAAGCAAAGTAAACCCTGAACCATTTTTAAGTGAGGAGAGAACAAATTCTTTTCTTCTCAGGCCTAAATCCCTCCCTCTTGTCTCGCTTCCCATTTCTCTGTAACATAATCTTTATTGCTTATGTTGGTGGAGAAGACTTGCCACCACCAGGCAATCTGCAATTAAAGGGGTGAATTCTGCATGTAGTACATCGAGAAGAGAATGTGAACTGGACCAAAGGTGTCCTTATTGCACTACTTCTGCCTGGCTCCCCACTTACTGCACATGGCATGTTCAAACCCCTCCTTTGTACCCCTGCTCAAAGTGGCTGTAGAACATCCAGCCAAAGTTCCTGCTGTTGCTTTGTCTTTTCCCCTTTGAATTCTCAAAATAACAATGATGGGAATACAGGGTTATGAGGTTTAATGCTCTGGCTTTTAATTACTCTTGAGATGCATCATTTTGCTTCATGTGCAAGCTAAATGGAGCAGTAACTTCTGGGAGCTGTGCAAACCAGACTCGCTCCCTGGAGTGCTCTCTTGGGAACTTCCAGGATGGTTTGTTTGGGTAGCTCAGCAAAATAGTATCTGTCAAGTCATGACGTACTAAACCTTTCATGACTATTCCCTAGGGGGATGTCTTTTTAAGGATCATAGGAAATAGATGGAGAGAACAGGAAATCAGGCTCCAAATCATCTTCAAAAGCTACAAGGTCAGTAGCTGTGGTCAGGCTTTCCCCCTAAGGATGGGATGACAGTGATGCTCCAAGGGTCACCCCTGGCATGCTGCTGTGAAGCACCTCTCCTTTCCCACCACCTTCCCTGTGCTGTAACTGTGCTTCAAGTCTACTTTTCCTGGACAGCTAAAAAGCTTGGGATCTGTCTGAACAACTTTCTTGTCTTGAGGCTTCTTTTGTAAAAGCTTTACCTGTGTTAGATTCTCTTTCAGTAACTGCTCTGACTACAGACCACCACTGATAGCTGTGGCAGAGCCCTTGTTCCGTCCTGCCCATTCCATGTTACGTGGCTGCTTAGTATTGGTGGCTCATCTGTGGTGGCTGCTGCTGCTCCTGGGACTGAGGGAGCTCTGCAGGCTGTAGCAGCAAGAATAAGCTTACAAACAAGAGTGACAATCTAATATACAGAGCTGAAAGCTGCTCTGTGCAACTCTTTAATGTCACACTGGCTGCAGTCAGCATCTGTGTGCAGGAGGCTGGTGCAGAGGATGGGGCACAGATCTCCAGAGCAGGGGTTCTATAGTCCTGAGGTGGCTCTAGTACATTTTTAGTGTCCTTGACTTTTACAGCAATACTGTTTCTGTGACCAAACATACTGCAAGTGCTTGGACGATCTGGATGTCCACAAATAGAGGAGGGGAAGAACACATTAAACACGTATCTGCTTTATATTTAGGAGTCGGAGTAAGCCACATTTTTTTTCCCCCTCTCCAAACCATAACTCTTGTCATGACAGAGACATTTCGTTCATGATTTCTGAACTTGACAGATCTTTTGGGGGATTAAGGAGCATCTCTGAATTCCTATTGACTTACTAAACGTGCCAGCTGCCTGGATGCATGCATAGATGTTTTCCCCTTAGAGATCCTTGTTTCATTCCCATTGAGAACAGACTTGGGTGCAACTTGGGGACCTGAAGGAGCCCCCTACGCAGCGCAGCTCTTCCTTTGACAGTAAAAGCCCGGTGTGAGTATCTGCCCCATTGACTGCAGATTTCTTTTGCCATGTGCTTATTACCACTTCTTGGTCCCAAGTGACTCTTCATAAGCAGGATTCCACCTCACACAGGCTAAAAAGCTCAAATTGCTTCTGCCTGGCCAAGGTTTGAACAAGGGGAATGCAGATGGGAGAGGGAGGGCCCGTTGTGGAAGGGCAGAGAGGGTCCGTGCCTCGGGCAGGAGGAGCAGTTCGCCACTGAGAATCGGATTATTTATTACCAAAAGTAATTTTATAGTGAACTGGTTGAAAGTTATTTTACAACTGTGTGCCTGTATATCGTATTTTGGTAAAAACAGATATTTTACTTAAAACTATATAGATAAATATATAAATAAACTTTTTTTTTTGAGCAAATCAGACTCTGTGACTTGCCACCAAAGCCGGGTAATACCAGAAACTGTTCTGCCGTTGTTCTCGGTGTCTCTGGGAGGAAGAAGTGAATGTTTGTGTCGCTGATGGGGATCTTGAGGTACCGCAGCCCGCAGCAGCCGGGGCGGGTGCCGCTCTCCCGCGGTGCTGCGCTCCCGTTCCCCGGGTGCTCGCTGTCCCGCTGCTTCTCCGGTATTGCTGCGGCCGTTCCCCGTTCCCTCACGCTCCCCCGTGCAGCCCGAGCCGCTCACAGACACCACCATCGATGAACCCTGCTTCGCGATCGTAACGGGCCAGCGGCGCCGGGGCGGGTCCCACCGCGGCTGCGCACAGATCCGCGCCGCTTCCGGCCCGCGCGGCGCTTCCGGGTCAGTGTCGCCAGGGGAAGCGGCGGCGGCGGCCCTGGAGTCCCGGTGGCGGCAGCGGCGAGGCCAGGCCAGGCCATGGGCGGTGAGAGGGGTGGCTTGATGAGGGGTGGCCCGGCTGCAGCGCTCGGTGGCCGGATCCCGGTTGCCTCAGAATGCGGCAGACGCCGCCGCGGGCCGGCCTGTTGGGGACGGACGGGCCTGACAGGGACCGGCCCCGGGCTTCCCTCGCCTGGGAGTGTGGGCCGGGCTGCGGACACACCGCTCCCGCAACGGCCGCCGGTCCCTGCCTGTCCCGGCGGAGATCGGCCGTACCTCAGCACTGTCACGGTTTGGGTTTGTCTGGGTTTGGTTTGGAAGGGTTCTGATTGTGTATTGTAAAAGGTCTGATATTAAAAGGCATTTATTTATCTTTAAGCACTTCATAAGTAGAAATGTTTAGTGTGGAAACCGTATCCGTTTCATTTGCAGGTACTGTTAGGCTCTGAAGGCTTTAATGGAACTAGAAACGCAGTAAGCAGGTGGATGAGGCACAAAATTAACTCTCGACATCTGGGAGCTTTAAACAGAGTGACACTGTATTAAGTATATTGGAGGTGGTGGCTTTTCGGAGTACCTGGATATTTCAGTTCAGCAGAGCAGTAAAATGTTTGCAAAGCTGAAAAAGAAGATAGCAGAAGAGGCAGCGATTGCTCCCAGGCCAGGGGGAGCTGCCCGGATACCCAGGTCTGTCAGCAAGGAGTCAATCACGTCCGTGGGAGCAGACTCCGGAGATGACTTTGTAAGTTCCACCTTGCTTTGAGTGTGATTTCTCTACCAGTGTTTCCGGGATGGCTTTGTAAACAACAGTTTGAAGTTTGCTGTATGAGTTGAGCGTGTATCGTGGTGTCTCTGGAGGGGTACCCCTTAATGCATATGTGAATTGTTAGCTTGAATAAACTGAAGTACTGAGGAGAAAATGTTTGTGTGTTAAACATAGGGGTTACCAGGAGGTTTATTCCCATGTAAATGTGAGTTATAAAGCTGTCTCAATACAAAACACTGTTAAACAGTTATAAATTAGTGAGTAAAGCTGTAGTAGCATGTAAGATACCTATTTGTAAGACTAATTACTGCAGCAACAGGAAAGCAAACAGGATGCTAGTTATCATGTTATTATGAACCTGTGTTTACCTCTTGACTTGCTGGTACTCTTCCTACTCAAGAGTGTTAGTTATGCCCCTGCCAAGAATGTGTCCACCGTTCTGTTGCACTCAAAACTATTGTAGTTCCTCCACTGTCTGGTCTAAGCTCTCTTTCATTCTAAAGCACTGTTTTAGCAAGTTGTGTAAGTCCAGGAGTGTGTGGGTTAAACAAAACCCTCTGCCCCTTGGTGGCTGTCATATGTTTGAAAACACGGATTAGGGGACAGTGTAGTGCCAATGCTGGAGCTGACAGCACCCATGTGTTGACCATGGAGCGAGTCGCTTTATCGTTCTGGTTTGCTGTCTGCAGAATGAAGAAGGTATTTATGCTGTTGAGGTTTAACTTATTTTCTTCTGAAGCCCAGCTGAAATTCCAGTTTTGTTAAGCAGAAAGCTGGAGCCTGTGGTATTTAAATACATTTTGCAATGGAAATGCATCAGTCTTGTGGTTTTCTGGTTATGTTTTTTGTGCTTAATACTCTCATGTAGAAATTGCATTTATCACTTTGTGTGTATAGAGAACAGAAAACAAATAATGATGGTGGCTGAAGTCTTGAGTGGTTTTCAGAGAATCTCTGAGAATTGATTGTTTCAGCAATATTCATTCAAAACGGCTTTTAATACTGATTATTCTGGAGAAAAAAAAACCTATAGAGAATCGTATGTCAGCTACACAGTGAGCTTTCCATGGAAAGACTAGTGCTTGGCTGAGCTTATCCCACTGCTTCTTTTCTACTTAGTTTTTCAAGACTTTCACTTTGCCCCATCCTGAAGCCTGCACTGTAAAGCCTGGTCTGTGTCCCCCATAGTTGCTCTGTTACGCCATCTCCTCAGTGATCAGTTTGAACAAACAGCTTTCAGCTGTGGCTTCATTTAAAAGCATTGTGTATTACATTGCAGAGCTGACGATTTAAGCCCTTAGTGTTTTTCTTCTTCAGCACTTTCTACACATTCTGCTGTGCTAGGACAACTTTCCCCTTTATGTGCAAAACGGAAGGTGGGATAGTGTTTGTTATCACAGACTTAATGTATGGCAGGATCACTTTTTCTAGATCTTGTAAGTCACCTGAGTGTTGTTTTTCTACCAGGCTTCTGATGGAAGCAGCTCTAGAGAGGATCTTTCATCTCAGTTGTTCAGAAGAAATGAACAAATCAGAAAACTGGAGGTCAAGCTGTCTGGTATGTGTCCTGATAGGTATAAAACCCTGTTACTTCAGCAGATATTTTCCTTTGAACTAAAGCGTTTTAACTTATTAAAAGTACATGGGTTTAGGGTTTGGGTTTTTGTTTTAATTACTTGTAGCAACCCTGTTCATAGACATCTTGGTAGCATCCAGTATAACTGATTTTTCATAAGGGTGACTGACTCTCTTCTGCTCATTTCACAACACATTCTCTGGTATTGCCCCATTTTGTGTAAGTAGCACGCCTGGGAAAGGTCCTCCTGTTTGTACCATTTACCCTATGGACAGTCAAAACTATTTGCTTGTGTTCATTGTTACTGTCACCCAAGTTTTCCTCAGCAGGAATGATTTTCTGATGGAGAAAATCATCGTCATTTTCCACTCATCCTTTTTTCTTTTTTATTTCTTTTTTATTTCCTTCCCTAAAAATTTCCTTCCCCAATGTCTGTTCATTCCTGGTCTGTGCTTCTCCCTCCTCCCACAAGATTATGCTGATCAGATCCGAAACTTGCAGAAGATAAAAGAGAAGCTTGAAAATGCGTTAGAAAAGCATCAGGATTGTATGTACTTCTCTTTCTCCTTTTCTTAAGTTGAAAATTGTTATGGTTGGAAGGGAAGGGGGTTGATACTCAGATGCTTTAATCATTTCCTTTCAAGCTGTGTCCCTTAAGGTTGCGAAGAATTAGAACGCAAGTTCTTGCCTTGTTTACAGTGTAAAAAGCAGTGATTGCGTGCTGGCTGTTGAACAAAGCTCTTGTTAGATTCCTTATGCCAAATTTGGGGCTAATGTGCAGGAGAGACCTCTGGGAAACTTACAGCTTTGTTACAATCCAGTGAGGAGCAGGATTTCTGCAGTCTGTTATTTCTGGCATTTGCCCAATGTACAAGCCGTGTGAGGTAGTAAGTGGCACAGTGTAAGTGCTAGAGAGTCAAGATGGGGCTAATTACTTGCAGAAGCAGCTCTTTAAAGTTATAAAAATCTTAGAGAAAATTGAGAAGCAATTTTAAGAGATGAGTTTTTATCATAGCTGGTGATTCTCTGTTGATAGCCTCCATGAGGAAGTTTCAGGAGCAGAATGAAGCTCACCAGGCCAGTCGTGCCAAGATGGCTGAAGGAATGGCATTGGCCTTAGAGAAAAAGGACCAGGTAATAGCTTGAACAACTCGACTTTTGACTGTCTGTGGAAATCAGGGTGCATGACCTCGATGTTTTAAGCAGGTGTCACCATTAACTAAAATAGTTGTTTGGCAGTGTGTGTGCTTGCTGTGGCAGCACTGAGGAAAGAAGGGAGCATTAAGTTCAAGTGCCAGAAATGGTGTGGGACTTGTCATTGTTCTGACTGCTCCTACTGTTTTAAAACCAGCCCACAACAAGTTCTAATGGAAGATTAAGCTTGCACTTGTGTGAGATTCAATTGCAGTAGGCCTGTTGTCACTTTCATTCTACTTTCATAAAGCTTATTCAGTAGTATAAATGATTCTTCAGCCTTTATGTATTAGAACACTAGCTGTTACTTTCCTTTTGATGATTATTTTTTTAGTCATTACCACATCTCTGTATCTTTGTTAACAATTTGATTACTATAATTGCTGTCCTTGGAAGTCTAAAAATAGGTATTTATTTTTTCCCCTCCTTTCTTTCTTGTTCAGGAGTGGATGGAAAAGCTTGGTCAAGTTGAAAAGGTAATTAACCTTTGGGTCTTTGTTTGGTTTTAATGTGTCTGTATGTATGTGTTTGTAAACACCACCCTGCAGACTTCCTACAGCACAACCAGCCCTTTCTATTGTTTGATCTTTCGTCAGTGGGAGAGGCCAAGCATTATCTGCATATCAGGAGATATTTCTGGAGTTATTTTTCAGTGGAGAAATAAAGAATGATGGGTTGCAATGAGAAATATGTACTTCTGTAAGGTGGAACAATAGCCTCCTTTACTGCAGAGGAGGCAACTGGGATGCAGAAGGAGATAGTGACTTTGAAGTCATCTGTTTCATCAAATAAATGAAACTATTTGGTAGGGATTTTTTTTGCTACAGGATTTCAGTCTTGTAGTTAGAGCTATTTAGCTTAGTCTATTTTAAAGTATCTGCTGATTATGAAGACGTTAAACATGCTACTATTTGCTGTCAATTTTAGAGTTCAGTTAGGTGATCATTGGCTGCAATGTGATGAATATGGGGGGGTTTGAGATCTTTGAAGTTTGGTAATTTGTTCCACATTACCTACTGCAACATGAGTGTGGAAGAGCTTCTAGTTCTGCACGCAGCACCATCAGAGCCTTATGGTTGCAAGACAAGATTCCTTTCCCAGAGAGTTGTAACTAAACTCCCAGTGACTTGAGCATGCAACTATTCTTGGATTCCTTTTGTTTTTGTTGGTTTATCAGGAAAAGAAAATACTTGAGAGACAATTGCAAGAAATAAGGGAGACAAGTTTGAACCTTTTTCAAAAAAGAGATGATATTGATGAACTGGAGGGCTTTCAGCAGCAGGAGATTGCCAAAGTTAAACACATGGTAAGATTATTTTAACCTTTTTTTTTCCTCCCTTCCCTAAAATTTCTGTTAGAATACCAAGTTAGTGGTAGCTCTGCATTATTTTCTTTAGCCTTTGTGCTTGTATACAGTCTTGGTCAGTGTTAAAACCTTAACAGTAGGTATCTGCATGCAATATTACATGGTTTATTTCAACAGTGACTTTTCTGGAAGTTATTTATTATCTCGCATAATTCAGCTGATTGCTTAATAAAAAGATAAGTTTCAATGAGAAGGCTTGATCAGTATTACCGGGTCATCTGTATTGTCAAAGACAATGTTCTAATATTCAGCTTTTGAAAAAGGAAGAATCTCTGAGCAAAGCAGAGCAAGAACTAGAGGCATGTGCTCGAGAACTAAGCCACACTAAAGAGGTGCTTCAGGATGCAAGCAACGAGTCATCAGGCCTAAGGAAAGACCTTCAGGAGTTGCAGAAGCAGTTCTTGGAGCTAGAGGCACAGAGGTATGGATGTGGTGTTTCAGGAGAAGCAGCATGTGCATTTCTCCTTTGCTTTTATTTCATGCCTACTTGTGTGTTTTGGGGAAGAGTTTATATATGTAGTGAGTTGACTGAATAATTGCTTCTCATATGCTGATGTGGATGTGAGTGCCAAATTTATTATTTTTCAAGCCAATTAAGTACTTGTTTAGGGTTTATAAGCCTGTTATGATTTCTTTCTTTCATTGTTTGAATGCTTAACTGTAACTTTCTGTGGAAAATGTGTAATAAAGCAGTGGCTGGTTTTAGGACAAGAAAATCAGTCCATTTTTATAAGCAGCAGAATTATCTGCTAAAGATTATTTTTCTGGAACATTATGTCACTTTTTTAAATTCTCTTTCCATGAAGGGATGAACTAATGACAGCTGAAACACATGCAGAAAATAAGATCACTGCTCTGGAGTTAAGAGAACAGGAGCTACAAACTGTCATTCAGCAGCTTTCTGTAGACTTGCAAAATGTAAGTTTGAGTTGAGATTTGATTCAGAGAGCTCCTTGTCTGCTGAGGTTAGATTAGATATTGCTTATGTGGGTTTGGAAATCTAAGTTTCAAAGCAAGTGATTTCTCAATTTTCAGGCTCGAGTTGCTGGTTCTGGTTGTGAGAAGAGATTGGAAGCATTACAGATGGAGCATGAATCTCTGAAGATGGAATATCAGCAACACAAGCAAAAGGTTAAGTGTTTGCAGATGCATCTGTTGTTGGTTGATATAAAGGTGTACACTTGGGTAATGCACTCCGAGTTGGGAATCTGTTGTCTGGAAAGTGTTTTAGGATCATACTGTCTTTTCAAATAGGACTTTTCTCTTTCTAGTCACACCTTTCAAAGACAAACCCCAATGGATTAGCTGAAAGCTTCACTACAAAAAAGATTCTGTCATTTCTTGTTCTCACAGGTGACTTTTGAATTTGCTGAGAGGAATAAACTTACTGAGCAGCTGCAGGAAAAAGTGTCTTCCTTGGAAAAAAAGCTGGAAAGAAATCTGTCAGGGGATGAACATGTGCAGGAGCTACTCAAAGAGGTAATGATACATTTATAGACTACTTATAAGTGTAACCTTAATGAGATTTTGGGGTTTTTTTGAGGACATACATCTCACACGTGGAAAGAATTTATGATGATGGAATGCAGGTACATTTGTACATTCAGTGTATATTGGTGTGTTGTCTGTGCTGGATAGAATTCTGTGGGTGGCTACATTGAGCCTGCTCGTGTAGGTAGCGCACAGGTGTTGTTATTGGTGTTTCTGCATTGTCTGTTTATGCAGAAAGTTAAGCTTTCATAAAAATCTTTTGTTTAATGCCTTAAACTTGGCCTGGCTTAGAAAACCATGACCTAGCTGCTGCTGCTGAGAGTTTACATCTGGATCATGACAGGATGCCAATGAATCTCCCATTCTTAATGGTGTCATCCCCAGGGCAACGTGATCTGTGGAGGCCCAGTGCAGTAACATTTAACTTGCTGTTTCCCGAGACAAAGCTGTATTGCACATGAAAGTAACTGTTCCATTTTAGTTTGACCTTTTTCATTAACTAAAAAGAAAAATGGTAATTTAAAAAAAAACAACCACCACCAAGGATTTACCTCTTTGTCCTTCCTCCTGTTCTTCATCTCAATGTAATCTTCAGAAAGCTACTCTGGAGCAGAAGCTGGATGAAACCAGGCAGCAGGTACTGACAGATAGAATGCACCACACTGAGACTGTGAACCAGTTGGAAACACAAGTAAGTGTATTTTAGCTTACCACGTATTCTCCCTTCCTCCAGCCTCTTTATGCCTTATAGCTGCTTCCCTCACTGCACTTGTGCTGTCAGCCAAAGGTGAGATTGTGTGTCACATTTAGTCTTAAAAAGGAAGTCTAATTGATCAATGTCTCTAGTCAGTGTGAAGAAGGGCTTGGTGGCTCTGAAGTTAGAGATTTTTTGCATATCTTCCCTATCCTGACAAACAAATAGCTGCAGTGCAAGCATTGCCAGGGGTGGTGTTGTACAGAAGTTTTAAAAGCAGCTTGTGTCAAATAGGCAGCCTTTCTGAACTGTGTGGTTTCAGGGTTTAATGTTTGCTTTCCCCTACTGGATCATCCCACATTCTGTATGTTTTTTTCCAGTAACATAGATGCCAATGAGTAAGGCATTTAATGGTTATATTTTAGAATAAAGAACTGGAACAAAAACTACAGATTGCGACAGAAGAATTGAGAAAGAGCAAAGAAGCAGCTGCTGAGCAGGATCTGAAGATCCAGAAGTTGGTGAGTGTCCTGCACGATCTTTCACTGTCCAGTACTAGATTAGTCTTCAGCGTCTCCAGAGACACCCCCGTCTCAGTTTGTTTTGTACTCAAGTGTTTTCTTGTTGTTTGTCTCCTAAACTAGTGTCTGTGCCAAACTAAGTGTTGCTTCAGTTTCAGTTGTGTCTCCTGGAATAGCATCCAATTCTTATCAGAGCTTCAAAATACCATTTTATTTACACAGTGTACTTTATTTCTCTTCAGCAAACTGATGTAGAAGATGAAAGAAGTAAACTACAGCAACAGATTTTAAGTGAGAAACATCAGAATGATGAGAAAATTACTGGGCTGGAGTCTCAAATTGCTGCTCTTGAAACAGGTTGGGAGTTGGATAAAACAGCTGCTCAGCACAAGATTGTAAGTACAGAAACTGTTCACTAGGCAATGTGAGTCTTCACAGTGTTATTTTAATACAGGCTGTGGACCTTGCAGGTTGTCTGAATGTTCTTATTCAGCGCTCCTGGCATTATAATAGATGATCTTATACTTTGAGAAACTAAATGTAGACAAAGCGTCTGATGTGTTTAATTGTTTAAGGAAAGCATTAGGAGAAATGTACTTAGTGTTAAAGCAATATTTATTTTACAGAGCCAGTTGGAGAAGGAAAATGAAATGCTTAATGGAAGCAGAGAAGAGTATGAGAGTTCTTTAAAAAAACAGGAGTCTGAACTGAACAGGCTAAAGGTAAAGGCACAGTTGGTCACTGATGTTCGAGTGAACTTCGAGAGACAGTTACCAGCCAAGTGTATTACATTCTCAGTACTTGGAGTCACATTATATTCAGGTTGCATATCCTGTAAATTGTCTTTGGTACTCAGTAGAGATGAATTTGAGGAGCATTACAAAATGGCTGATCCATTTCTGAAACAGTGCTTGTGTCTGCCTAAATCAGGCAGAAATAATCCACTCCTGTATTGTCAGGCATGAAGAGCTTTTAAATCCTGTGAGCAGTAATGAATGCAGAATAGTTCAACATCAAATTCCACTCATAGCATTGAAAACAAAAGTTAAAAGCTGAAGTTGATCAAGTATTTACATCTTCTATTCAGTCTTTTGACTATAAATTTAGGTTTTAGGAAGTTTTTTTCTGTAGCTACCCGTGGATGCACAACTGGGTTACTCCAGTTGTTAGATTAGTTGGAGGAAGCAGCTGCTTCTTTGTAATAGAGACTTCAAGCTAGAAGATTTTTTAAGCATTGAAATGTTCAAATCAGTTCTGTGTTGCTTTTACATGTGCAGATAGTGGCAGTGCTGTAAAACAAAACAGTGATTCTCCTTTAGAAACTTAAATCATGGTGTGTCATAAATTATAGTTGCTAATAGATTTGGGATTAAAGATGGGAGACGGACTTGATTTTCATTGTCTCGAGTAACCTCTGAATTACTTTTGGTTTGCAGAATGAATTGAGCAGCAGAGAGACTGTCAGTGTTGAAATTGCCAAAGCATTGGAAGAAACACGAAAGCAGAGAGAGGAATTACAACAGCAGGTTGGTTAATACCGACAGTCTACAATCTATTTGGGTGCTCCCCATCTTTCACAGACCAGACAAGATTTAGTCCAAGTTATCAGAACAGTCAGACAGTAGTCACTAGCTACTAAGAAAGAATAAAATGACTGCTACAGCTGAGCCCAGGACAGGGTAGGAGGTGATCTCTGGTTTTGCTCAGGGCTATTTTACAGCTGCCACCTGGTGGTTATGAGGCAATCGGTCTTTATGGCACGGATCATCAGGAGCAGTGTGGTTTAGCTCTACCAGCACATTGACTTCAGTGCTTTTTAATGCGGACAGCATTATAGAGGTGATGCCTTCTGTGAGGCTCTGGATAGATCAAACATCTGTGTTGTGGTATCAGTGTTATATTTTTAATGACTTCTGTTTGCTTGCTTTGCAGGTTTCACATCTGTCTTCATTAATAAAGGAAAAAGACCAACTGATTGATGAAAAATGTGATACACTTCTAAAACAGCAAGAAGAACTAAGACAACTCAGTCAAGGTTAGACCAAACGAGTCCATTGTATTCCAAACACCTTTATTGATATACAGGCTCTAATTCTAGGCTTTCCTGGTAGATTGTAATAATTGTAATTTCTCTTCCATATTTAATCTGTTAGAACTTTCAAGATCTTGTATCCTTCAGTAGCAATTGGACAGTCTCTCTGCTTCCCCTTTAAAAACAAACCCACTTTTTTCAATCGGTCTTACATTTGTACACCATAAATTACAAATCTTACTTATTGTAAAAGGTTGTTTTGCACAAAATGTGGAATATATGACACAGATCAAAACCTGCTACTTCACTGCAGCACTTAAACTGCACTTGCTTGAAAGATTATTTGCATTCTTAAAGAGCAGCTGCATTTGATTCAGTAGACTGATACTAAGCAGGTCTCTCCTTTCTCAGATCATGAAGCTGTCTTGCTGCAAGTGCATCAGTTGCAATCTGACATAGAAGCAAGTAATAACCAAGCAGTGGAGAAAGAAGAAATGGCAAGAAAGGAAATCGATGAGCTGAAGTTGCAGATGCAGGAGTGCCTATTGGCCAGAGAGCAGGAGAAAAATGTGAGACCACTGTTATCTGTTGTTCCCTGTCTTCCTAAAGAAAGCTGTTTCCTCTCAGAGCTGTGACTGCTTCATGAAAGACAACCCCTTATTTTATCTGACTCATAATGTATCTTGAGAGAAGCATTATGAAACCAATGAGACAGTCCCAAAAGTAATAAGCAGGCCAGGGAGAGATGTGGCCAACTAGATCGCCACTAGTGTTTTCTGGTTTAAAAGAGCAACCACCAACCACCCAAAACCAACTACTAAAAGAAGTCTAACTTTGTGCCTTGGGAGTGTTCATGGGCTGAAAACGTCATCTCTCTCCAATTCACTGTTTATAGGCTTTAGAACCAGAGGAGTCGACGAGAGCCTTGAACAAGCATTTCCATTCTCCAGAAAACTGTGTGGTGGAACAGAACGGAGAGGTAGCAGTTGCAGATGTCATTCAGCTTCAGAAGGATAACAGAGAGCTGGAACAGCAGATTGCTGAGAAAAACAAGGTGAATTGAAACAGCAGAAACAGCTGATTGTCTTTTCCCTCTTCACTAGGAAGCCAAATAATTGGTGCTGCCCATGCTGCAGCATTAGAAGGACAGGCTTACCAAAATGGCAATTTGAATCTGGTATTTTGTGAGTAACATTTTTTCCCCTCTGGACTGTACAGGGATCTAGCAGCGGTGGATTAAAAACTGCAGCCAGAATTGTAGGAATCCTTATCTGTTTTGGAGGAAAGATGCACCAAATACGATCATTTGCAGCTTTCCTGCAGAGCTCTTTTGTGTGAATTCTGTTCGCTTCCACTGTACTGTCACATGAAAAGTCAAGTATCCTGTCACATTCCTGCTAGTGTGTGCAGCTAAGAGAGGCAAGACATTCAGGCTGCTCCTTCCGAGCTGGCAGCGTTGTTTAATGATTGTTTCATTCATTACATTTGTTTGTCATGGGTTTTTCCAGATATCTGAGGGTCAAAATACATTCTGACAGTGAATGCTGTGTTGACACTATCCTTTGCTGTGCTTACAGATGATAAAGCAACTGCAGCAAAGAATGACAGAACTCAAGAAAACCCTCCAGAAGGAGTTGGTAAGGGTTATGCTTTTTCAGTGTTTTCAGCTGGCACTTGCTGATAGTTATTTGCACTACTAAGTCCAAAAGCTTGACTGCTGGCTAGAGTGTCATTTTTGTATTACTAGGGATACCTGCAGTTTCCTTACGTTTGCAGGCAGATTGGTGAGTGAGGTGGGTAACCGTCACCACTCAGCTCCTGAGTAGAGAATTTTAGCTACAAATCTGTGTCTGGGCATTTAATACATTTCTGTAGAAGGAACAACTGAGGTTTGATTACTACTTAGCTGCCATTCAGCTAAGTTTTACCATGGGACTGATACCTGCCCCAGGGAAAGGTCCCCTTTAATCCCTCTTACAATTGTTTTTCTCTTCAAGAAAAAAAATCCATGCTGGTTTGAGTACTGTACATGTAACAGTAGCAGCTACTAGCTTCTGTTCTAGAGTCTAGGGAGAGGTGGAGACGCTTCTCTTCTGTGATCTCCTGAAGGACGAGAAGCTTGTCCTATTGATGCCCAGGTCGTACCCACCTTGTGGATACAAGCCCTCTGTGTTAGGTACCTCAGACCTAGATGCTCTCCCAGTGTCAAGCTGATGGAGTCTACAGCGTACTTCTCTTTCTCTGTTTTTAGAAAATAAGGCCTGACAGTGAGGTACCTGAAATCCGTGAAAAAGCAAATTCTGAAGTGCCTAATGCTTCTGTGACTGTCACAAACAACTCTGATTTAAATGACTCGAGGGAGATAAACTTCGAATACCTTAAACATGTTGTACTAAAATTCATGTCCTGCCGGGAATCTGAGGTAAAGATGTACACTCACCTTCTCTTTCTAAGTCTTTCTGTCTTTAGAAACTGCCCCCTGTTACCTGCTAAGGATGCTTGCATGCCAGTTCCATCATTCTACACTTACAAAGTTGATTCAGGGTAATGAAGCAAAACAGCTAACAGTAACATGTTTGAACATACAGATTACTGTGAACTAAATGAAAGGGAATTGTGAGTTTCTAAGAGGTAGTTCTGTCTGCAACTGAAAGATCTGGATGCCACAGGAGCTAAACTGCTTCTCTGTTGTAATTGACTAGGCTCCCTATTTGTCGCCTTTCCCCAAAATATGCAAACCCCTGTTAAAGATCAGAAGACTAGGGAACACAAATGGAAGAAATAAGATATGGGCCATCCTAGTCTGTGGGAACTGGGGACAATGGAAGGCTGCTGGTCTGCTCTTCCCAGCTGTGACTAAAAACTCTGTGACCAAACCTACAGACAAACTGGGCTGTACCACAGTCCCGACTTTAGAGCCAGAGCATCATAAGTGACAAATACTGTGGTTTTTTTCAGGCATTCCATCTCATTAAAGCTGTATCTGTGTTACTGAATTTTTCACAAGAGGAAGAAAACATGCTGAAAGAAACTTTGGAGTACAAGGTAAGGAGTCTCTTCCTCTCATAGTTTCTAATGGGACTCCCAGCCCATAGAATGAAAGTTCTCAGATGCTGGGAGATCAGAAGTATCTTTTCCAAATGCTGTAGTTTATTATTAAAATGTTAGCTAATCACATAGATACATGTTGGAAATTGTCCATTTCAGTGAGGGGAAATAGCAGCTTTCTGGTGCTTCAGAGGCGTGACTGCAGTTTTGCCCGGTGGACTCACTCTGTGGAGGGAAGCTATAAGCTCCTTGCTAGAGTACAGTCAAATGTTTAAAAGTAGGAAGCCAATTCTTGGTTTGTTGTTTTGATGCTGAGCTTAAACACCTGGATCTGTTTCTCCTTTCCATGGCATGAAATGAGATCTCCTTATGGGATGTCCCTGGCTATGTGGTTATTAGTGATTGCTCATAAATGAGTGCTGCAGCATTCTGTTTATAAATAGTCCTTTCCCTCAAATGATGAGGAGGTGCCTATGTACCATATTATTTCTTCTTCAAATCTTCAGCTTCTTAAGTGTGTGAACCTAGCATAATGTTATTGTGCTTCCTGTCCTAGATGTCATGGTTTGGGTCAAAGCCATCTCCTAAAGGCAGTATCCGGCCGTCTATCTCGAGCCCAAGGACACTGTGGCCTTAAGGGAACCTGAAAATGGGCAGTCAGCATCTAGCCACTTTTTTCTGTGAAAAGGACGCTGAACACACTAATTCAGGTGTGTCTTAATCACTGTCATTGCAGTATTTTGTACAAGAACTTTTGACACTGTTTACAAAACTAATACTGTGCAAGGAGAAATTTTCACTACAAACTGAAACCTCTTCTGAGTTGGACTTGGGGACCGTTGTCTTGATGGAGTCTTAACAGAAGTCAGCTCCTTGTGTTCATCAGTCTTGTTTTCTTGGCACCAAAGGGTAATGTTAACCTCACTAATAGCGGTGCTGGCAGTTCAAGCTTCTAACACGTGCATCTGTTATGATGGTGATTCCAGCTTATGTTATGGAGTGCTCAAGCTGAGCAGCTCTAGGCACAGTAAAGCTTCTTGTCTCACTGTGGAAAGCAAGCAGTGGATAAACAAATAATACTGGCAGTACTGTATTGAGTTGTGGACCGTTTGAAAAGCCTTTCAAAGAACAGGAGCAGGAGCTTTAACCAAAAAAGAAATCTGCCTTGCCTTGTTATACTGACATAACTACTAGTTTGCATTTTTTCATATCACTGTGTAATTTAAGGTGCGTATATCCTGGCCTGCAGTCCCGAAGGCTGCATGTTGATGATGATTATTTAATTTGAGAGCACAACTTTAGAGTTGTCTGATTTTACTTTTCTTAAAGAAAAATAATATTTAAAATGGTCTTAATTATAGTACCTAATACTCAGTCGCCTTGAAAACTAATCTATAAGCCTGTACCATAGGTTGTTAGTGTAGGGAAGAAGGGGTAGTAAACCATTTTAAATTTTTAAAGCTGAATTCCAGGTATTGTAAATGCACACTGAAAATACCTTTTATTTAAGAAAGAATCTAGTGACAAAGGGTGAAGAATATTGGTACTAATCACTTTGATTTTTATGCTAGCAACAAATGTTCATGACCAGTATCTGCCTCTTTGGTTGTGGTTTTCTGTACTTCAAATACTGATGCTTAAAAACTGTTAGGAACATGCAGTGGGCTGTTAACTGTGTCCTAACGACATGGTAAAAGAAATGCTGCTCGTGAGGTTTTTGGTTTTGAGGATTCAATTCAACTCCTAATGAATCTCTTCATTCCAGCACTTGCTTTCCTTCCCTATTAAGAAAAGGGGACCAAGGTGGTGCTTGCCTCCTGGAGGGGAAGCACAATTTTGCCCACAGTTATTAACAGCACTGCAAAATCTAGATTAAAATGGGCAGCAGCAGCAAATCTGATTTCATAAAGGACATACTTTCCAAAAATGACAAATGTATGGGATTTGATGAGCAGGGTCCAGTTCTGGTAATTCTCTTACAATGAGGTTTGTGTTACTAACAACACTTTAATTAAATATGTTCAAGAAACTCAGCCTGTTCTCTAGTGGAGATAGTTACTGTTCAGGTTTTTAACTTAGCTTTGTTAATGGGATCTGGATGACCTTGGTGGTGGCAGTCAAGGTGCAGTGTTATACAGCATGTGAGCTGCTCCCTGCTTCCATGCACACACTCCTTGTGGTAAAGATGAGTTTCCTTCCACATGAGGTCAGTCACCAGAGTGGTCAATGTGCTGCAGATCTGTACCCAGCTGGCCTCCCCAGTTTTTGTTCAGCAGCCATACCCCAGGCACAGGTACTTGCAGTAGCTGTTACCTTGGCACAAGTGATGCTCCTCAGTTTAGAGCTAGGTTATATTTATTTGAAGTTAAGAAAACCAACAGGATTTTCAGTACAATAAGGTTTGTCCAAACAGTCTTTCAGTAACCTGATCCATGGCACTTAGTGATGGCATAGAGAAGTGCATGGGCAGGGTACAACTCCGCTCTAATATGAAAACAGACAATCAAAGAGTAGATTTGTATCAGTTGTTTCTCTACTGAAACAAAGCAGGGCAGGATAACCTGTTGATTCTGGGAAGATTTTTCTTCTCAAAGATCTTTTGCTTCAGAATATCCCTTTGCTCTGCCCTATTTCTGTGGGACCTGAGACCAGGGGACAGGATTCCCTCTACTCACGCTGATGCCTGCTGAGCAACTAATCGGTTTATGTTGATCCTGGCTTGAAAGGTTACTGCTGAACAGTGAGAAAAGCAGTGCGTGCAGCCTGGAATGGAGTGACAAAACAAGATCTTAGATTACATACTCACTAACACAACTTCACTTAAGATCCCAAAGCTCATACTGGATCAATTTACCATAAACGAGTTCTTAAGTGTTGAATTTTCTTTAGAGATCAGAGCAAGAATGGTGTGTATACATATATTAAAAAGCCAATGCACTTTCCTTGTATAAGTGATATACATAATCCTTTCTATGGCCATTGGATTTCTTTCCTTCTATGCTGTAAATATGGATTGTATTATGAAACACTATGAAATTTGTGGTGCAATACATTTTGGATCAAAACCCTAATCCCGATTTCTTTCTCTTTGTAGTTCTGGTTATCTCCACTGGGCTGCTTTAGCTATTTAAAATTGAGAGCCTTTTAGAGCATGAAACAAACCCCACCTTCTGCCCAGGGTAAGCACGGGTGTGCCACGTCATTAAGGCCTGTTTCTCATGGGGAGATAACGCCAGGAATGAGGCAGAGAGCTTCTGCCTCCTGAAATCATCTTTCACAGCTGCTGCTGCACTTCTAGCAGCTGATAAAAGCACAGACTGAGTGGAGTAGGGGCTGGAGCAGCTGCTTCATGTGGAGTAGGCTCCTTTGTGCCAAAAAGCAGATAACTTTGCCAGGCAAACCCCAGTGCTCTTGCTATAACTGATGCTGGAGACAGCAGTGGTTTGTGTCTGGACAAATCAAGGTTAAAACCTCTGTGCTCACTGACTCAGCTCATTTTGCTACACTTCAGTCCTTCAGAAGGTGAGGACACACTAATACAGAAACAGTAAGTTCTGAAGTATTTTGTCCATCCTAAACTGTCAAGAATATGAAAGTCAAACCAGGGGTGATTGTTTTACATTCACTGTCACTTAGAAGCCTTGATGGGAACAGCTGAGCTTGGCCTCACTCCCTGCAGCCAGGGAGTTGGATTTGAGGATAGTTCTCTAAACAGGTAAAGAGCATTCATGCAAGGGTGCACGCTTAGCTTAGAACTCCTGCAGTGCTGGCCTGCTTCTGAGGAAGTGTTAGATTTAGTGAAAACCAAATTACTTTAACTCGTGTGATCCAAGAGCTTTATTGATGCAGCAGGCACTTTACACTGAAACCAACCCCACGGTCCAACTAGTCCGTCCAGTATGCAACCACCATTGCACCAACCACTTCTCCCGCCCACAAGCTGTCAGGGTCTTGCATCTGCCCAGGCCACAGCTACCTCGTGAATCAGCAGCACACGCAGGATTCTGTCTCACCACGCTTGGATAAAGCAGCATCTGAAAATACCTGTTCTATTACAGTAATAGGAGGCAGGAGTGTGCCATCTCTCTGCCTTTTATAGAGGGATCAGGAGAATGTCTTGGCTCCTGTATGTGATAGTTGGAATATGCAGGAATACCTTTACTATGCCCCCACCTTTAAGGTTAAAAGCATTCCAAGAGGTTTCCACAGTTATTTCAGTAGATTGCAATCTCTAATAAAGATGGGCCAGTGTAATTTCAGCTCATTCCTTCTTCCGAGTCCAAAACTGATCGTCGTCTTGGTTCAAGTTAATAGTCTTTTAAACAGTCTTTCTTGCTGTAAGAACTCTTACTATGGACCCTAGTCCACCTACTGCTAATGCCTGTGGGGATGGGAAAAGGAGAGAGGTTACACAGAGTCACTGCAAAAGGCATCTTAAAAGAACAATCAAGTGTTTAATAACAGAAGAGTTTACGGCTCTTCTCTAAAAACTTAACTTTTCACCCCTTCTTTTGCTCTCAGGTCTTCAGCAGTTAATTGGGGAAAATCTATTTTGCTAGCACGTGTGACCACTACAGACATTTTAAGCCATTTTGTTTAGGTACTAAACCACTGTGCAGTGTCAGGATGAAACCACACTGCCCTGCAGCCCGCAAGGCTCAGGAACAGTGCTGCTCTCCGTATGACTGCTCCAGCAGTAAATACAAATGAGAGTGATCTCTGACCCAAATTACTGCAGTGCCTTTACAGTAATATTCTATATAGGTACTCTGTGATGTAAGAACCAAAGTACTGAAGGGCAGACAAAACCAAACACAATAATTTAATAGCCCAAAACCACTAAATCTGAAGGGAAATGACTCCAAAATCCAACTCCCTGCTGGATGCAGAGAAGGATCCTGGTGTCACATGCCTCTGACAATGCAGAATGTCTCACCTCCCATATCCCTCAGTGGGAAAGGAGAAAAGGCCCCTCCCATTTCATCTGCAGATGGATACGATGGTAAAAAACTAAGTATTAAAGCTGACTGCTTAAAATGAGGCATTTACTCTGCAGACATCATTCAAGTGTGAGTTTTACAGTCTGAAATGAGAACAGCGACCGACAGTCCGCAGCACCTCGCTGTGTTAGGGAACAGGAACACAAAGCATCCATCTGGAGCAGAACCTGCTCACACTGCGGCAAGTGAACATTCCCAACTTCCCAGACCTGATCAGCATGGGGACAACAGCCCTTTTCCAGAGGACAGACTGGTACAACTGCCGAGAGCTGACGCCTCTCTGAGCAAGCCACACGTCCTACCGGTAGTGCCAAGCAGCAGAGCACCAGCCAGGGTGTAAGCCCTGCCCAGCCCACTTCAGACCTGCCTGGTTCCCTTCTACACAAAGAGGACGGGATGCTGTACGTGTGCCTACGTGCTCTGAGCACTGTCACCTTTCCAGTCAGGGTGGTGTTGTGTAACACTGCACACTGGCAGCACCCACCCGTGGTTACCTGAAAACAGGCTCCAGTGGAAACAGCAGGAAAAAAAGTCAAAATAACCAAGCAGAAACCTGTTCTTTTGTGTCCTGAGGAACTGCCTCCTGCCCTGTCAAGGTCTTGTAAAGCCAGTGACAGCTGCCAGCAGCTGGACTCAACCTGAACAAGTTCTGTCCTTACACACCACAGAAAAACACCCGTATCATGTGATGGACCAGCATTAGCAGCACCTCTATGTTACAGGGAGCTGCAGTGTTCCTATGGATCAGTTTTCCAAGGAGGAGCACTGACAGCTGGTGCTATAGATAAAACCACTGCAAGCTGGGGCAGATTTCACTTGGAATCCTGCCCGGGGTGCCCAGCACTCAGCTGGTGAACACATCCCACCCTCCCCTCCCGCAACAGGCACTGCACAGAAACACGAGAGGACGGCTCCGGATCCCAGTGGAATCTGCTTGGATCTCCAAAGCCTCTCCTGTTACTAAATCCGGTTCTGAGCTGTGGCATGTGCTGCCAGCAGCCTTCAGCTGATGGAAACAACCAGGCCTGAGCACCCCCTTTGCCAAGCACCCAGCTTCAAAGGGACGCTGCCCCTGCACTGCTTAACCATCACCTCCTCAGCTCCAGCTCTGTCCCCTCGGTGGGGCTGGCCACAGAAGAAGCCACTGCCCTGCCCCATGTCTCACCTCTCCCCTGGCTGGGGTTAAAGACTTGAACTACAAGCAACTGCTTAAAGTCCAACCTCGAAGAGACCAAAAAGAAACCGCAGTTGCTGTGCTCCTTGGGGATGAGTCCCTGCCATCATCTGCTGCTCTCACCACTGCTCCTTCCACTTGCTGAGCCGGGCGCGCACCAGACACGTACCTTTTCATGCCACTGCAGTAATATTGCACTGCTGTTTTCTGTTGGCTTTTCAAATCCTTTATAAATGTACTTCATTAACAAGTCAACGCCGTTTCTGTCTAAGGAATTCACTGCTTGTTCTATTTCACTGCTTTTAAAAGATGTGAGGACTTTAAGCATGGTTCCCTGGGCCTGCTCCTGTGAAGACAAGGAAAGGAGAACAACATGAGAACCAGCAAAGCCGGAAATGATCCCTAGACTTGTGTTCAACAGTGGATGCTGAGGGCTGGTGGCTACACTGCAGGCTGTGTAGGTGACATATTTCACCTCGGGATTCAGGAGTGAGTAGAAGGAAAGGGTGAATACATGGGGACTGCATGCACAGCACACCGCTGTGTCACTCAGGAACAGCGCAGGGGTGCTGAGGGGATCTCTGGGATAACACCACGGCATCACACCACTTCCCAGGGCTCCACCACTGAGACCACATCCCTGCCCTGCCCAGTACCTTCATGGCCTGGCTCTTCATGTTGGCGGGGCTGCTCCGGATGGCGGTGTGGAAGGCTCGCAGCGCATCCCCTGTGCGGCACAGAAGTCAAGGACTCATCCCTGGCAGTGCTCACGGCCAGGTTGGACACAGGGCTTGGAGCAAGCTGCTCCAGTGGAAGGGGTCCCTGCCCGTGGCAGGGGTTGGAGCTGGATGGGATTTAAAGCCCCTTCATCCCAGACCAGGCTGGGATTCTGTGACTCCACCGGCAGCTCCCGGTGAAGGTGAAAGCCCGAGGGTCTGCAACGAGACCGAGCGGGGCGCTCCAGGGGCCGCTCCCCCGCCCGCAGCGCAAGCTCTCGGCTACGAACGAGCGAGAACGCGGCGGCGCCTCCGCGACCGTCCCCGGGTGCCACCGGGGCCCGTCCTCCCGCCCCGGCCCCGCTCCCCAAGGATATTGCCTCAGCAGCGCCTCCACCTCGGGCCCGGCGTCGGGCTCAGCGGCCGCCGCCTCCTCGGGCTCCTCCACGAAGCGGTTCTCATCGTACTGGTCGATGTCGAGGCGGCGGAAGCGGGAGGACAGCGTGCTCCGCGCCATGCCTCCGCCGCGGCCCGCCCCGGAACTGGACCCAGACCCGCACCCACCCCGGAACCGGAACGACCGGGGGAGCCCTGCCCCGGGCAGAGGAGGCGGGACCCGGGGCGGGCTGATGCGGCGGTACCCGCCCCGGGGATGGAGGGATGGATAGATGGATGGATGGATGGACGGGGGGAGAATGGTACATCGCGATACGGCACAAACACACAGCATCTGGAAAAAGTCAGAACAATGATTTTAATGTACAAACCCCAGCGCTGTAGCAGGTCGGTGCGTTTGGAACCGGGATCTACGGAAAACAAAATAACCCCGGGGGATGTGGGGACAGGGAAAAACAGCCCTTCTGGCCACGGTATCCACGTAAAACAAGCGGTGACGGGACGCACAACCCCGTCACAGCATCAGGCAGGAACTTTGCTGCTGAAATTTCCTTTAAAACTTACCAAAGGGAAGGGGAACCCGCCGGGAGCGAGGCGCTTTCCGCCCGGAGCTGCGGGAATGGCTCAGCTACACCCCGAAACGCGCGAGAACGACATGCAGTAGTATAACTCTCAAGGGCGTGTTACAAATACTCTGAAATGAATCTAAAGGTAAAGGGGAAATAAAACCAAACCAACTTTGCTACAGACACCATCGTACACAATAAATTTAGATAACTTAACAA